ATTTATGTCCGATTTGTCCGGGGACCTTGCATTTCACACCTCCTCTTAATTAACTACTGTTAATAATTCTTACAGAGAATCAGCACAGTGTCAAGACGAAGATTGTTGTGGCTGACTTCAGCAAAGGGGCCGAGGTGTACGGGCATATCGAAGAAGAGCTCAAGGATATCCCATTGGGCATACTTGGTGAGATTAATGTTAAAATCATATTAAACCTACGTATTTTACAGTAAAGCCTACTTTTAAACCTTATATTTTATAATAGGTACCTCGCGTCAGTTTATGCTTTCTTGAAAATTAATGCGCAAATGATTTGTATTAAGTATTAAACTTTCAAAAGTTAGAGTCATACTTAGTCAAAATTTCTTTATTTGTTCTAGACTATTTACTTTAGGGCTGATTTTTCAATCATCAGATATCTTTTAACAGAAGAATAAACTTGTTATTTTGACACATTTTCCATACTGAAACTGTCAATGTGCTAAATTATATTAAATCTTCATTTATAAGATATCTGACGATTGAAAAATCAGCCCCTAATTCAATAGACAAAAGATATATCACCTTAAAAAACACTTAAAAAAGATAGATCTTGCCCTTCCTTGCTCTACGAACTCATTAATTCGTATACAGCGAATCAATTGGAAAATTATGCACGCGTCACCTTTGACCTAGGTGCTAACACTTCTTCATTAATTTTTAAACTTTATCAATGCGTCACTTTTGACCTACCACTTTTTCATTTAAGTTACATCATTGTGTCATTTTTGACCCCTTCTTCATTAGCGTGTGTAATATCACTGCATAATTTTCACCTAATATTTATTGTTCATTAAATAGGTAGTTATATCATTGCGACACTTTTGACCCTACTTCTCTTCGAAGCTCTTGGCTTATGTTGAGTACATACTTATGGAACCTGATGGAAAGGATGCCAAATGTTAAAGGTGTATCGACTTCCTCAGCTACAGAGGAATTCTGGTTATTTGTCTTACCTCCAAATGCCAAAACAGAATAATACATATACAGCGAGTAGAGCATTTCTTAAAATATGCGACATCCATCTTCCAGTGAACAATGTGGGCATCAACTACGACTATCCTATGGCGGTGTGTGAAGTCCCGACGTCGAAGGCGTGGGAGCTGATCAACGTGAACATCGGCGCTGTGACGCTGATGACGAAGCTGGTGGTTCCTCGCATGGTGGCGCGCGGGCGCGGCGCCGTTGTCAACGTGTCCTCGGGCTCCGAGCTGCAGCCGCTGCCGTTAATGGGAATCTATGCTGCCACTAAGGTAAAAATAGAGGGAGAGAATTGGATTTGACATGCCGTGACGTAGATGAAGAAGATGGTGATTCCTTGCATGGTGGCCTGCGGGCACGGCGCCGTCATCAACTTGTCCTCGAGCTCCGAGCTGCAGCCGCTGCCGCTGATGGGAATCTATGCTGCCACTAAGGTAAGAGGAGAATGAGAGAAGATGCTTTGAGGCGCTGTAACGCTGATGACGAAGCTGGTGGTTCCTCGCATGGTGGCGCGCGGGCGCGGCGCCGTCGTCAACGTGTCATCGGGCTCCGAGCTACAGCCGCTGCCGCTGATGGGAATCTATGCTGCCACTAAGGTAAGAAGAGGAGAGAAGTTGCTTTGAGATGCGGTGACGTTGATGACGAAGCTGGTGGTTCCTTGCATGGTGGCCTGCGGGCACGGCGCCGTCGTCAACGTGTCCTCGGGCTCCGAGCTGCAGCCGCTGCCGTTAATGGGGATCTATGCTGCCACTAAGGTAAGAAGAGGAGAGAAGTTGCTTTGAGATGCCGTGACGTAGATGACGAAGTTGGTGGTTGGTGCTCTGCGGGCACTGGGCCGTCGTCAACGTGTCCTCGGGCTCCGAGCTGCAGCCGCTGCCGCTAATGGGAATCTATGCTGCCACTAAGGTAAGAGGAGAATGAGAGAAGATGCTTTGAGATGCCGTGACGTAGATGACGAAGCTGGTGGTTCCTCGCATGGTGCTGCAGCCGCTGCCGCTGAAAGTTATCCACGCTTCCATAGTGACACTGGCAAGAGACCTCTACCCTTCTCGTTTTCTGCACTGTTACAGGCAAATGAATATCTCATTAGCATTGTTTATAGGTAAGTATGTACTTTTAAACATGAGTCATAAGTTAAGTGAATTGTCTAGTTATTTCACTCGTGATTTTCGTTTCGTTGAACATGTTATTTTGGAACATAAGCATTTAAATGAAACTAAAAGAAGTTAAAGCAGAACAAGAGTAGTTTTGTTTGTGGCAACTTAATCATTAGTTAGGGCAAAACGCGCAAAATATGCCCTACTTCCACGCTAGCCTTTCCAGTCTGAATTACAGATAATTGGTAAAACTTTTCTTTCCAGGCTTACGTGCGCAGCCTCACATTGGCCCTCCGCGAGGAGTACTCATCCAAAGGGGTCTACGTCCAGCACCTCTCACCGCTGTTCGTGTCGACGAAGATCAACGCGTTTTCGCAGCGGCTGCTCGACGGGAACCCGCTGGTGCCTGACGCTGGGACGTACGCCCGGCACGCGGTGGCGTCGCTGGGCCGCGTGCACAACACTACTGGCTACTGGGTGCACGGGCTACAGGTGAGGTTTACTATGATTTCGACTCTGCCTGTTTCTATCACTTTAATCATTTTTTTTATCCACAACGAGGAAGCTCTTGAGGGAGATGAAAACGCTTCAGAATGAAAGTGAAACCTTCTCTACCTGATACGACGCCTTTGAGTACATTGAATATTCAAGCTCAATAACTCTGAACTCATTATTTTTACAAGTTATCGATGGCTTTTAAGTGGCAGGCAACTGTGTCTCCTTCCTTTTTTCCTACCATATCTTTTGCCAAATCAAATTATAGAAGGTACATAGGATGAAAAGCATCTACAGCCCAGTAATGTTTTGTCTGAGATCTAGGCTTTGGTTCCAGTTTTAACACACATAATGTGAATTCACTTGGTGAGGTTGTCCTGGATGTTTTTTATTTTATTTATTTGGAAAAAAAGAATAAAAAACATCAGGCTTAACAATCGAAGTCGAAGATAGAAGAATAACAGCGCGTACAACCTCTTATTCGACGTCATTGTGTTTGCCATTTGAACTGTATTATTCAGAGCTCCCTCAACAATATCATTAAGTAAGTAGTGCGCTCCCAGATAGATGTCATGTCTTTTTTACTATGTTTGTAAGGTTAATAATATTGGTTTCTTTTGCAGTATACATTAACTAAAGTTGCCCCGGAGTGGCTCCGGACGAAGATCGGCCACCGGCTCAACCAGCAGTTCCGCGAGGAGTATGAAAGAAATAGAGTCAAAGCAGAATAATTATTTATTTACATTTAGTGCATTTTCTGTCTAGTACAAATTAAATACTTACATGTAAACAAATTATACCTCTATGTATTTATACAAATGTTAAAAATGCAAAACCGATTCTGTTTGTATCTTCCACGAAGTTTGAGCCTTCGGATCGGAACCGATTTTTAGCGATATTAAACTTTTAAACTTTGGTTTTTTTAAAAATACTCGTAGTTGTAAAATAGGTTTTAAAAGTCGTTACTTTTCTACATTTCTAATAATATGGTTGCATATGAATAACAGAAGCTTTTAATTACGTAATTTTTACAAATATCAAATCTGTGTGTGGTATCGTAATCTGCATACAAAATGTAAGATTTGAATGATGTGTAAGAGTTTATGGTAATTGTTAAAATAATGTGATATTATTTTTTGTTACATAAAAACTAAGATGTTTTATGGTAGGTATGTCATTACATAAAAAGAAATAAAATAATTTTCAAATATAAATATTGTTTAAAATAATTACAATTGTTTTATTCTAACTAATAAAAATAATAAATTGTATTGTTGAAATACTATTTTATAGCCTGACCAGGAACATAAAAACCCTGGCATAGAGGCGCTTCAATTGCATTTGATAGTGCAACACTGAGTACAGTCGTACCTGTGTTAAATTAATAGGCTAAATTTATGTATCAGGATTCAGGATTACGGGCTAATTTGATATTTTCATAAATTAACGAAAAAATATTAATAAAGGTAACCTGGTTTAAATAAATTAAATGAAACCATCAATCGAGCTAGTAGGATTTTTTTTTCATCAATAATCAAATTCAGAACTTGAATATTCAACTGCAATGTCTGCTCATGAACGCTTCAAACTCGGTACTTCTTTCCCAATTCCATAAAACTCAAAACTGAGAAAGTGACAAAAAACTTTAAAATAGGTAGTTGAAACAAACTACAGCTAATTTTCATAGTAGACTGTACTATACGATAAACATGTCAGTCAATTTGACAACCTTTGTTGGAAACATTATTCAATGAAAATATTGTCCGAACCCTTGGTATTTCTCTTCGACAAATACATTAACACATTGTGAACCACTTTTCTTTCACGACTATAAAAATATTTTAGCAATTTAATTCACAAAATCAATTGCACACATTTAAAATAAAGTTTGTTTACACTTTGACAGCAATAGACTGACATGCAAGGTGACATGTTAATGAAGTTTTCAGTAACTGTTGCCATTAAAAGAAATTAGTACCATTAGTTTTCCGCAACATGGCGAGGGTTTTTATGTTCCTGGTCAGGCTATAGTTGAGTAGGCTGCTGCATGTATGTGCCGACATCGACAAATAAAATAACATCGGATAATGGGATTATCAAGGACACTCCTCGAGTGTCGAGAGTCACTAAACTTCTGCGCCACCATTAATAAAGAGGTTTTATACCCTTTAAGCAAGAAGTATCCATGCTTGCAACGAGTAGACGCCATAAAAAAAAAGAAAATCTGTCAAAAAAGGCGGCAGATTTTCTTATGTCAAAAAACTTCAGAGCTGTTTGTGCTATTGTTGTATTTATATAAAGAAAAAAAGATTCTTCAATATAACTATTGGAGATAATAAGAGTGACTGATGTGATTAAATATTATAATTGAATGAAAATTATATGAAAATGTCAAAAAAGGGTAGCAGAATAAGTTACGGTGCCTTCAAAGATGTTGAGTTCCAGTCTTATTTACGACAAGTCCAGGTAAAAACTTATGTAAATAAAATAAAAATTGTTCTAGGACTCTCTCACCTTAAATTTAGGGAGAAAACTAAGTAAGATTTGGGATGGGAATTTCGTTAGAAACCCTTAACAGTCTAAATAGTTTAGCAATGGATGTCATGATGAATAAGTAGAAATTATCAACAATTCAGCCGGAGTACGCGTTCTGGTGGTCTCGCGAGCGCGTGTTCAGCTGGCTGCGGTCTCTGCCCGAGGACACCTTGTGGAACTGCCTCATCTGCGTGGTGGCGCTGTTGGCCATCATCTGGGTCATCGTGGGCGACGTCAAGACCGCCGCTCCCAGGGATGAAGTCGACGTCTTCATCAGAAATTTGGTTTGTATGAAACAAAAATAGGTAGGTAGAGGTAAATCTTATCGTAAATGCAGACGTGTTTTTAGAAAAGGGATCGGAAAATGATCAAATACGAGAAATCGTACAAGATTTTAACTGAATCAGATGAAGTGTTCAATTTACAACATTTCCAATTTAACATTTTCCATTCTTCTATGGCTATGACGTCTTATGCATATTTATAAAATACGCACTTATCTATTTTCTGATTATAGAGTCCCCTGATTGCAGTACTGGATATCATTTACAACGTGGTGTACTTCTTACACGTAGCGACAATCGCCATGAATATGTTTTTCTTTTCCGGCAATGAATATCTCGGCACTTGTACTATAGGTTTGTAATATTTGCCCACATGGTTAGCTGTCTATTTTACCAGTGTTTTGTCATCTCAGTTGCTGCAACACGAATCTTGTTGAGGCGATTTATCCGACATTAAGTTATGAAAAGTTTTATGAACCTCGATACCTACTTAATGCGAATTAGCTAGTGCCCAACTTTTTAAGTTGTTGTTGGCTCTATTGGACCAACTGCTTAATGTCCTCCAAAAAATCATGATACATTACAAACCTTTGATTTGGCTACGAGAACAGAACAGATGATATGTTTGAATTTTGTTTCAGTGCGTTTCATTTTAGATTTTATATCATTTCTCCATTACGTGTCAGCATTTGACACGGCAAATGTTTTCAAGCTCATCTGCTATTACATTCGCCTGCATAGACCTTTCAAATTTCTTTGTAAGTTAAGTACCTAGTTAATTGCTATTTTTGCTTTAGACTAACTTGACTGCTAAGTTGCGCTTTATTTTTCGTTCATGCATGTCACAATAATTGAAAATTCACAGGGGAACTGAACGACTACAACCTGAAAGGCAGCATATTGGGCAACACGCTCAAATACTGCTACATATTCTTCGTGTTGAGGGTTACATGGGCATTCGTTTGGATACGTGTCGATGCGGTAATCACCTTAACTTAAACTCAGGTCTTAGTAGGTCTATTGGGCTTAATAGATCCTGTGTTGCTATATCCTTACGGAGATACCAGCTCGGGGACAAAATTAAAGGTTCCTCGACTTATGTCGGGGACTATATCTTATTATTATGTCCCATATCATCCTCAACTGTGGCTAATACCGGCTCCAGGATCAAAGTGGGAAAAGCAGTTGTACTTGTACAGAAAAAAAGAGCACAGTTGAGTGAGATGACACTCAAAGCTAGATTGTCTTTAAGCATGTCATTGGTGTGTCAGACCCAAATTAACGTAAACCCGCATTTTTTAAAAATAGTTTTATATGCCTCAATTAACATAATATTAAACCTAATGCTTCAGTACGAACGTCAGTACACTGAAGTGGCTCGCCGCAGAACTCTCTTCGAAGTGCAACTAGAGCAAGCGCAGGGGAATCTCACCGACGACTCCACGTACACCGCCGGACAGTTCCTGGTGGCCATCTACATGGTCAACAAGATGTTCATACCGATCGGGTGCGATTTTTGGAGATAATTCATAGAAATAGAAAAGTGCAGTTGAGAGCACGCCAATTTATGATACTTAAAAACCTACATTTTGGTTGCTAACTATACCTTTATTTTTTTTTCAGTAAAGTAAGATACTACACTATAGCCTTTACCTTCACAATCATCTGTTGTGAAGTGTCATCATCATCATCTCATATTATAGAATTACAGAATTTGCATAATCCAATTTTTTATATGAGTATGTAGGTACTGCTAACATCAGTGGTCAGTCATTACTATAAATATTTGATAACAAAATGTAGAGAAAGAAAGAAACAAGGTTTCAGAAGACGAATAGTATACACATGAGACATGAGTATAATGAGTCATTACAAAGTAACTAGCTAAATGATTAATTTACCTAATATGTTGATTGTTGTGTGGCATACAGAAAGTAGGTTAACTATTAGGAAATTCAAAAACGTCTCCTCGCTCGTTTTTGTGTCGTTGTCTCTCTTCGCTATCACTTATGATTATGTATTACCAGACCGTCAGTGGCACCAAGTAACGATATCGAGCGAATAGCCTGCCTCTTGGTGATGATCACGGGCTGTCTTGTGGTGACTGGAGCTGCAGTGGCTTCCTTGTCTCTGGTCATCAGCATCTACATGAGGCCAGAAGAAGCCTTCCGCGCACGCTACCGCCTGATCATGAAAGAAATGGTACGTGTTCTACTGATAGTACACGAAGCTGTATTGATGCTGAATTTTGTTATTAGGTTAATAATTTTCATCAATTTAACTAATTTAGTCCATCTGTTAAGGCATTTACTAAATAAAGACACTGCTATTGCAGAAAGAGTCACACGTGCTTCCTAGTCTACGGGAAAAGGTGGAGACCTTCTACAAGATGTACTGGCACAAACAAAAGGCTGTATCAGCCACACAGCTCCTGCCCACTTATCCCCCCACTCTCCCAGCCACTGTCAACACCGAAATCTACTTTGAGGCCACTCAAAAGGTAACCCTTTAGCATTCAATAAGAAAATAAAATTGAAATATAACTATCAATTTTAAATTGTCCGTGGCTTTCAGAGTCGTATCCTTTGCGATTTGTCCTATCAGTTTCTGTCTGAAGTGGCGAAGACCATGAATACCATCCATTACATTCCTGGTGATACCATCATCAAGAGAACCACTAGAAAGTCTTCCATCATTTACATCACCTATGGAGATATCGAGGTGAGGTATAATTAAATTACTCTAAGTAATTAATATTGTACATTTTTTATTAATACAATTAAATCCACTTGGAGAACTTGCTAAAAAAAAGTCGCAATGGCTCATTAAAAAGTACTTCAATCCCAATACATGGAACATAAAACGAGTTGAAGAAATGCAGTTCCTTCAAAGAATTTCTGCGGTAATCCATAATGAGACCACATCGTGCTGGTTGTGGTGGTGGAGAAAATCCGTACACAAAATCATCAGTAGGACATGTAGTGCGAAGAACCAGACAGCGCAGTTTGGGTTGACCGCGATATGCGGTTCAGCTATGGATGTCTCATCATAGTCACATCTCCCTTAGGGGGGACAACAGGACTTCAAAAATCCAGTTGTCCCCCTAAGGTAGACATCAGGGGGACAACAGGACTGCACCAAATTCCCTAGATGCTGTCAGCCGAGGATGACAACACGGCAGTGGTTCGCATGACGCGCGGCACGGCGGTGGCGGGATGCGGAGGCAGCGCAGCCGCGGCGTGCGCACGCGCTCACGTGGAGATCCGCGCCGCCACCTTCTGCACGGCGCACGCGCTGCACGCGCCCGACCTGTGGCGCGTCGCCAACAAGTACGGCCACGACACCCACCAGACGCAGATCATACTGGCTTCTTTTAACGTAAGTCTTTTCGCCAAAGATTTCCTGGCCCTTCCCACCGGTTGTTTTTACCGCTGCAATACCTGTGTAGTGAGGATCGACAGCTTGACCGTGCTATGACAGTTGTCTTGAGAAACTTTAACTTTTGACAATCATTTGGACGCTCTACAATGTAAAGACCTTCACATTACATTTCAGGAACACTTGGAAAGAGTGAAAAAACACTATAGCCTGAAAATTCCTGAAGATGTCAAGTAAGATTATTATCTACATCCGCATTTTATTAGTATTTGAAGCTTTAAAATTACCCAGAAAATTACTCTACAGGTACAAGAGCAGCATCTTACACTTCAAAAAGAATTTGATGGCTCTGAAGGAAGCCACTGACTCGGATGGCAAGCTACTACTGGACAGAAGGGACATATTTCTCGAGATTGCCGGCTGCTACATTATGAGAAATGTAGGTCTAATAAATAATCTCTGCCAGATATGAACTCACAGACCATCGAGTACTTTCTTTTATCTTAGCTGTAGGCTGTCTTTCTCTACTTTAAATTTTCTCTCAACTATCAGCGCGCAGATGGAAGACAGACTGACGAGGCCGATGCCATCTGCCTCCGTTCTACGTTCCCCTGCATCCTGCAGCCGTGGTCTTCCCTGCAGATCGCCTGGCACTCCTTCATGTGCTGTGTCATCCTCACCGTTTGTTTTGTAAGGAATTTCATTTTACATTTACATGCAGGTACAATAATGATGCATATTAAAAGACCGGTAGTTTTTATCAAGGTAATAATTTATTTCTTTAATTTTCTTTTTTTAAATCCAGACGCACCCTTATTTCCTGATTTTCAAGAAGACGGTGCCATTGGAATTTAGATTCTTCGACTACGTGGTTACGGCGCTCTATCTGGTTGATTTGATTGTTCATCTTTCGACTGGCGCTAACGTTGAAGAAGGTTCGTTATTTTTATTTCACATAATTAGATTTTTTCTCAGGTTTCTAATCTCTATAGAGGGAGAAGATTAGGTTTTTCTTTAACTACCTCATCCTACACTCCTTTCAGAGTTTGAAATATGAACACAAATTCTTTAATAACTTCCCTCTTCTTTTCTTTGTCGTATTCTACAGCAGCCATTAATTTATTAATTATCAGCCAGTTTAAAAATATAAACATTTACTGATTTAGGAGTGCCCATAACCTTCGCCCAGACGTCGTCACAGCAAATGCGCAGCCACTGGTTTGTAATAGACGTGGTCGGCACCCTGCCCATCTTCGAGTGCATACAGTCTGCTGACCATTTTGCTGGAATCAACAAATTGCTTCGGCTGCCGAAGGTAAACTGGCGACAAATTGTCCCGCAAAGGTATCATGCGTGAACAATGTCAAACAAATAAATAAAACCGACTTGACTTCTATAGGTACTTCTTATAGCTGATAGATAATAACGCCTACGCCGCATATGGCTGGGCCACATGCGTAAGGACTCTTTGACCACGCGGCGGCGCGACACTGGCCACCAAGAAAACATAATTCTTTTTTCATCGAGGACTCGAATTTGTAAATAATAATGTAATTGTGTGTATGCTATATTAATCTAAGTGTGTATGTAATTTAACTAATTTACATTATATAATAATATAATAATTTACATAATATAATACGAATTTCGAATATATTTTATTTCCACAACTACTACAAAGCCCGTCCGTACATAGAGCCATTAACTCTCTAAAAGCACGATGTTGTTCAAACAATACCTACGATAGAGATGATGAATATTGATGAATGAATAATATTTTATTTTCATTGATTAATTTCCTTCATTTACTATTGTTTTGTTTTTAGGTGTTCCGAGTGCTCAAATCCATGGAGGAGATGTGCGTGTACAACAGTAACGTATTACGGTTCATGTCCTACACCTTGCTGCTGGTCATCGCGTGCTACCTCATCGCCTCGATACAGCAGGGCTTTATGTGCTTCAGGTCGGTTCTCTGGTACCTACACTATAATTCTGAAACAAGTAAGAGGGTTCTAGGGTAAATTACCAGGTAGGTAAGGTGACTTGGTGCTTTAAATCGTGTCAGTTTAACGAGGGTTATGATTTCAGTAGACATGTTCCTTATGGTTTCTTAGGAAATGTCTCTCAAAGTGTAATAACTTCTAAAGATACCAAATGAATTTGATTATACAATGTGGTGCAATTTGGTATTTATTTTCTAACAGTACATAATTAAAATTTATTAGCGATTACAGTCGTTTCTCAAACAAAACTTGAAATAAACAACTGGAAAAAATCGAAATGCTTAAGGCGGGAATTGAACCCACGACCTTTCGCTTGCCGGGCGACTGCTCTTCCAACTGAGCTACTTAGACACTGAACTGGCAGTTCGATTTTTTCAAGTTGCTTATTTATTTAGCATCACATAAGTCTCGAATAATATTGCTGTATATCCCAGGTTCAACTATTGTCTAGTCGGCAACTTCACCCACCCTCCGTATTGGAAGAACAGCACCCTGGACGAGGAAACCGTGGTGCACCGGCTCATCTTCGGCCTCTACTGGGCTATATCCATGATCACCTTTACGAGTAGGTCCATTCAGAATTCACACAATTTATTGAAATTCATGTGCCCCTAGATACTGAGCTCTAATTATAATAAATCAACTAGATCAGGTCGCGAGAGGTCGTAAAAACTACCTCGGTAAAAAAACAGTTAAGTTTTAAAAATAGATTATGTACGAGTATAAATGTTGTACGGATTGAAGACTTCGGTCCCTACAACTTATGAATTTTTATAAATTTTTACAACATCTTTGTTACAAAGAATGATAAAATGCACGAAAAAAAGTGAATTGTCGGGGGGTCGCAAAACATTTTTTCATACTAGGAGGGGGGTCGCGTCATGAAAAAGGTTGAAAAACACTGAACTAGATAATAGCAATGTATCCTTAGCTTTAAGCTTTTTCTTAGCTATTATCTCCTAGCTTTGAAATCAACTGTGATTTATACGAATTTATACCATTTGTAGCTCACATGGAGCCTTTTGGTGTGGAGAACTGGCACAGCGTTTTGTACACTATGGTGGTGTTGGAGATTTGTATCGTGCTGCACATATTCATCGAGGCGGTGTATTCGGCCACCATCATGGTTACTACGGCACTGAGGTGTGTGCTCAATCAGCATTAAAACAATATTAATTAACCGCAAAAAATGTGACGGAGGATGAACAAAGAGAGAAATAAGTCGCTCACAAGACTGCTTTCTTGTCGAGCCTTAAAATTTATTTGTTTGGATTTTCAGGGAAGATTACGACTCTTGTATTGCAAATGTCAAAGACTTCCTCATCAGGAACGAAGTGGATGAGCAGCTCCGGCAAAGGTTTATCACATATTTGCAGCTATGCTGGTATACAGACAAGGTATGATAAGAATATACTACCCTATTGAATATAACGATTTAGATATCTTTTTGTTTACTGTGAATTCATAGTTTATAATGATTTAGGCGTACTCAATGACGAATAGAAAGACCTCGATCTTCTACGACCTGCCTCCTCACGTGTACCAGAACATCGTGACCAGACAGAGAAGCAAGTACTTGCTGAGTATACCATTTATGAAGGTAATATGCATANGTCGTTTATACAACAAAATAACAAATGGCTAGTTATAATAACATGTATTTTACCATAACTTTAAAAAAACCTTAGAAAATAAAATATTTTGTTTTATTTTTGATTACTCTGACTCCCAACTTTGATTACCCTGACCATGAAAATTTTGATGTCGCATAACTTTTTATTCCTGCTTGCTACAGATGGGCCAATATAAAAAATATGCTCGTAATAATGTCTATTTTGAAATGTTTTACCTAAACTTACTCTAAATTCAAAAATAAAAAAGGTCGGGGTAATCAACAAAATAATCCAGATCCGGAGAATGACCGACCTACATTAGGTAAAGTAGTGCGAATAGTTCTGCCAAGAAGACCGTTTAAATTAGTTAGACCGACTTTACACCAGAAAGTTATTAATAAGTGACCTTAATTACTTCATTGTTATAATTCATCTTAGTTACTCAACAAAGAGGAGCTGAAGAATGTATCCTCTAAAGCAAAGTTGTTCTACACGACTCCAAACGAGATCCTGCTGAATACTGGAGACATCAGCAACGAGATCTACCTCATTAAACAGGGCATTTGTGAGGTAGGTAGATAATTTAATATCTACCTGTAATACCGGCAGACAGTGGTGACTGAGTTTGTTGCGGCGCTTCTTCTCAGCACTTGCCAAATGTTGGTCTCGAAGCGCTGGTAGGGTAAAAAGATTATGAGACATGTAGAGGCTCCTTAAGAGCAAAATGACGATTTGTAAGAACTATTTATTAGTCTAAACAAATAAAGAAATTTTGACTTTGACTTTGACTTTTTGACCATTGGCAGTTATTTTATGTACCTATATTTCTTGTTCTTTTATAGATTGTGGATCCTGACACAAAAGAAGTGGTAGGGTCTCTCGGCGTGAAAAGCCACTTTGGTGTTCTCGAGTGCTTACTGCGTAAGTAGTACTTAAGCAATGCAAATTCTAGAAAAATCGAACCGAAAACTGAAACTCTGACAATACACGGTGGTCTGATAAGGGCACGGCCTTATTGTACCTAACAACTACTGGATTAGTTAGACGATATAAGTTGCTGAAAAATCTGTATACAGGTGTACCAGCTTACTACACCGTGAGAGCGGTGACCCACGTGCAGGTGTTCACGATCTCGACGAAAGTGCTGTCCAAGGCCATGAGGCTGCCCAAGATCAAGGATGCGGTTGAATTCGCTAAGGAGCAACCCGTAAGCCCACAACACAACTTACAAGTGAAAAAAATCTGGGTCTCCGTTAGGCACAAATGGTTTCAGCAGCCAATAAAAACATAGTGTTTGTTTGCTTTTGCTTCATCAGCTTTATTAGAGTTCGTCATCCTTTTTGATTGCTTTATCAGTCTTACACCTGTATTCATAAACGATACTTTTAAGTAAAGTAGCAACGCTTTGCGAAGTCGAACGCACAGCATTGAAAAGAGCTTTATGACTGGTTCGCACTCACTCAATAAGTATCGTCTATTAATAGGTTTCAGGCACCCTTTGCGTCCACGCGCACTGTGTGACTTCATAATAATGTTTGTGAATACGGGTGTTATTTTCAGGCTTGTGACATTGACTTTACTTTGGCCAGGAGTTAGGGTGGCTTGGCGGTTGTTTTTACTGGCTTACTAGCTTTGTCCTTGTTATTTGCTCCACCAGTCTTATTTTCAAGCTTATAACTTTGATTTTAACTTGGCCAGGAGTTCGGTCGGCTGGCAGTGAGACGTGAGTCGTTCCTTCGCTATGAAACGCCCGAGAAGGCGCCCAACATGATGCGGTTCCGACTCCCGCGCAAGTACGAGGAGGACTTCGCGTTCCTGCATCCCTTCAACAGGCTCGGATACTTTTCTATACTCAGGTAATTTTGTTTAGTATATGTATAATAGTTTTCCTCTGTACGTTTTGGGTCATGAAAATGGTTTCTAAATGCCATTGACAGATCCGAGCCTAACAAGTCGAACGAAACGAATGTTTTCCGTAGTCAAATCAATTAAACTTTTTTCTTTCTTACTATCGGCAATTGTAAGTTTCACATGACTTACCTATCTATTTGTGAGCTTTTCTTATTTAATTTATCATAAACCCCAGGAACAAGAAAATAATAAAATTCCTAATGAGTGAGTACAAGCACAAGTGATTTAACACCTGAAAATCAGTCTGTCAGAGGAACAGGAATATCCCTACATTGTAGAGCTCACCGTCTTGTATTAAAGTTATGCACGTTGGACCGGCGTTTCTCCCCCCAGATACATATTCCCGCGCTTCACCATCCGTCCCGACGGCGACTACTTATTGCGCTACGAGTGGTGCCGCGCCTTCTGCGCGCTGCTGTCCGCCATCGTGTTCCCATCCTACTCCTACCTGGTGCTGCAGTGGCCCGGCCTCTACTACTTCTCCTGGCTGCTGGACTTATCTGCTTACTTCGACATGTAAGCGACTACCTGGTGCGTTACGAGTACGAGTGGTACTGGGCAGTCTGCGCGCTGCTGTCCGCCATCGTGTTCCCGTCCTACTCCTAGTCCTACCTGGTGCTGCAGTGGCCCGGCCTCTACTACTTCTCCTGGCTGCTGGACTTATCTGCTTACTTCGACATGTGAGCGACTACCTGGTGCGTTACGAGTACGAGTGGTACTGGGCAGTCTGCGCGCTGCTGTCCGCCATCGTGTTCCCGTCCTACTCCTAGTCCTACCGGGTGTTGTAGTGGCCCGGCCTCTACTACTTTTCCTGGCTGCTGGACATATCTGCTTACTTCGACATGTAAGCGACTACCTGGTGCGTTACGAGTACGAGTGGTACTGGGCTGTCTGCGCGCTGCTGTCCGCCATCGTGTTCCCGTCCTACTCCTACCTGGTGCTGCAGTGGCCCGGCCTCTACTACTTCTCCTGGCTGCTGGACTTATCTGCTTACTTCGACATGTAAGAGATAACGGGCATTATCATCAGACCACTTAGTTTTCACAGGAGGACGATTCACTATAATTTAACAGGCAAATGGAGGAATAAGCTTACAATTTCCACTTTGGCCAGATAGGATGGGATGGAGATGAATGATGTTCCATAATGGACATGGCGCACAATTTTTGTTGAAGATGCCAAAAATTACTACAAAAAATTAGAATGAATACTGTATTTTTACTTTTTTGATATCTTTAAAAATGACTGAANATCCACAAAACTATGCCTTGTCTCGTTAATTTGTTGTCTTGTAGAGCTATTATTATTTTATCGACAGATTTGTTCAGGGACCTTGCGGGAAAGTGCGAACACTTCCTCTTAAATTAACTGCTGTAAATAATTCTTACAGAGAAGCAGCACAGTGTCAAGACGAAGATTGTTGTGGCTGACTTCAGCAAAGGGGCCGAGGTGTACGGGCACATCGAAGAAGAGCTCAAGGATATCCCATTGGGCATACTTGGTGAGATTAATGTTAAAATCATATAAATATACGTATTTTACAGTAAAGCCTACTTTTAAACCTTATATTTTATCATAGGTACCTCGCGTCAGTTTTTGATTATTTGTGCTAAGTATTTAACTTTCAAAAGTCAAAGTCAAAGTCAATATTTCTTTATTTGTTTTAGACTTTTTACTATAATTTAATAGTACATACTTACAAAAGACAGATCACTTTAAAAAGATACATCTGGCCCTGCCTTGCTCTACGAACTCGTTACAACGAATCAATTGGAAAATTATGCACGCGCCACCTTTGACCTAGGTACCTACTAACACTTCTTCATTAATTATTAAGTTATATCAATGTGTCACTTTTGACCTACTACTTTTTCATTTAAGTTACATCATTGTGTCATTTTTGACCCTACTTCTTCATTAGCTTTTGTGTAATATCACTGCATCATTTTCACCTATTAGGTAGGTATTTATTGTTCATTAATTAGTTATAGGTATCATTGCGTCACTTTTGATCCTACTTCTCTTCGAAGCTCTTGGCTTATGTTGAGTACATACTTATGGAACCTGATGGAAAGGATGCCAAATGTTAAAGGTGTATCAAACTTCCTCAGCTACAGAGGAATTCTGGTTATTTGTCTTACCTCCAAATGCCAAAACAGAATAATAGGTATACAACGAGTAGAGCATTTCTTAAACTATGCGACATCCATCTTCCAGTGAACAATGTGGGCATCAACTACGACTACCCGATGGCGGTGTGTGAAGTCCCGACGTCGAAGGCGTGGGAGCTGATCAACGTGAACATCGGCGCTGTGACGCTGATGACAAAGCTGGTGGTTCCTCGCATGGTGGCGCGCGGGCGCGGCGCCGTCGTCAACGTGTCCTCGGGCTCCGAGCTGCAGCCGCTGCCGTTGATGGGAATCTATGCTGCCACTAAAGTAAGAAGAGGAGAGAAGTTGCTTTGAGATGCCGTGACGTTGATGACGAAGGTGGTGGTTCCTCACAAGGAGGCGCGCGGGCGCGGCGCCGTTGACAACGTGTCCTCGGGCTCCGAGCTGCAACCGCTGCCGCTAATGGGAATCTATGCTGCCACTAAGGTAAGAGGAGAATGAGAGAAGATGCTTTAAGGCGCTGTAACGCTGATGACGAAGCTGGTGGTTCCTCGCATGGTGCTGCAGCCGCTGCCGCTGAAAGTGACACGTACGAAAACACTGGCAAGAGACCTCTACCCTTCTCATTTTCTGCACTGTTACAGGCAAATGAATATTTCATTAGCATTGTTTATAGGTAAGTATGTACTTTTAAACATGAGTCATAAGTTAAGTGAATTGTCTAGTTATTTCACTCGTTATTTTCGTTTCGTTGAACATATTATTTTGGAACATGAGTATTTAAATGAAACTTTAAAAGAAGTTATCAGAACAACATTAGTTTTGTTTGTGGCAAGATAATCATAATTTTAGCGCAAAAGGTGCAAAATATGCCCTATTTCCACGCTAGCCTTTCCAGTCTGAATTACAGATAATTGGTAAAACTTTTCTTTCCAGGCTTACGTGCGCAGCCTCACATTGGCCCTCCGCGAGGAGTACTCATCCAAAGGGGTGTACGTCCAGCACCTTTCGCCGCTGTTCGTGTCGACGAAGATCAACGCGTTTTCGCAGCGGTTGCTCGACGGGAACCCGCTGGTGCCCGACGCTGGGACGTACGCCCGGCACGCGGTGGCGTCGCTGGGCCGCGTGCACAACACTACTGGCTACTGGGTGCACGGGCTACAGGTGAGGTTTACTTTGATTTCAACTCTACCTGTTTCTATCACTTTAATCATTTTTTTTTATCCACAACGAGGAAGCTCTTGGCCTGTATCTCACCTGATGGTAAGTGAGGGAGATGAAAACGTTTCAGACTGAAAGTGAAACCTTCTCTGCCTGATACGACGCCTTTGAGTACATTGAGGATTCAAGCTCAATAACTCTGAACTCATTATTTTTACAAGTTATCGATGGCCTCTAAGTGGCAGTTATGTCTTTTTTTTACTATATCTGTAAGGTTAATATTGGTTTCTTTTGCAGTATACCCTGACTAAAGTCGCCCCGGAGTGGCTCCGGACGAAGATCGGCCACCGCCTCAACCAGCAGTTCCGCGAGGAGTATGAAAGAAATAGAGTCAAAGCAGAATAATTTATTTATATTTAGTGCATTTTCCGTTTAGTACAAATTAAATACTTACATGTAAACAAATTATACCTCTATTATGTATTTATAAAAATATTAAAAATGCAAAACCGATTCTGTTTGTATCTTCCACGAAGTTTGAGCCTTCGGATCGGAACAGATTTTTAGCGATATTAAACTTTTAAACTTTTGTTTTATTAAAAATACTCGTAGTTGTAAAATTAGGTTTTAAAAGTCGTTAGCTTTTCTACATTTATATAATATGGTTGCATATGAATAACAGAAGCTTTTAATTACGTAATTTTTACAAATATCACATCTGTGTGTGGTATCGTAATCTGCATACAAAATGTAAGATTTGAATGATGTGTAAGAGTTTATGGTAATTGTTAAAATAATGTGATATTATTTTTTGTTACATAAAAACTAAGATGTTTTATGGTATGTCATTACATAAAAAGAATTGAAATAATTTTCAAATATAAATATTGTTTAAAATAATTACAATTGTTTTATTTTAACGAAAAATAATAAATTGTGTTGTTGAAATACTATTTCAGTTGAGTAGGCTGCATGCATGTGCCGACATCGACAAATAAATAACATCGGATAGCGTGATTATCAAGGACACTCCACTAAGCTTCTGCGCCTGCGCCACGTTAATAAAGAGGTTAAAACCTCTAAGCAAGAAGTATTCATGCGTGCAACCAGAAGACGCCATAAAAAAATAAAATCTGTCAAAAAAGGCGGCAGATTTTCCAATCCTGTTAGAAAAAAAAAACAGATTTTCCAATATGTCAAAAACCTTCAGAGCTGTTTCAAGTGCTATTGTTGATTGTTGTACTATTCATTTATCGAAAAAAAGATTCTTCAATATAACTATTTGAGATAATAAGAGTGACTGATGTGATTAAATATTATAATTGAATGAAAATATATGCAAATGTCAAAAAAGGGTAGCAGAATAAGTTACGGTGCCTTCAGAGATGTTGAGTTCCAGTCTTATTTACGACAAGTCCAGGTAAAAACTTATGTAAATAAAATAAAAATTGTTCTAGGACTCTTTCACCTTGAATTTAGGCCGAAAACTAAGTAAGATTTGGGATGGGAATTTCGTTAGGAACCCATGACTACTGTCTGTGCTACTGTTTTGTCTAGTAAGCTACTATAGTAGAGCAAGAATGATTACAAAAGTCCCAAGTAGGTACACTTCTAACAGTCTAAATAAAATAATAATTCAGCAATGGATGTCATGTCTTACCATCAAAATCAAAATCAAAAATATTTTATTGAATTTAGACCACTGGTGGCACTTATGAACGTAAAAATATCCTACTTCCTACTAATATTATAAATTTGATGTTTGGATGTCTGGATGTCTGGATGTTTGTTACTCTTTCACGCAAAAACTACTGAACGGATTTTGTTGAAACTTTACAGTATTACTGTTTATAACCCAGATTAACATATAGGCTATAATTTATGACGATCTGTGACAAACTAAATTTCACGCGGGTGAAACCGCGGGCAAAAGCTAGTAGTAAATAAAAAAAGGTAGGTAGTTATGGGGCACTTTACATGTCTCATCATGATGAATAGATAGAAATTATATACAATCCAGCCGGAGTACGCGTTCTGGTGGTCTCGCGAGCGCGTGTTCAGCTGGCTGCGGTCTCTGCCCGAGGACACCCTGTGGAACTGCCTCATCTGCGTGGTGGCGCTGTTGGCCATCATCTGGGTCATCGTGGGCGACGTCAAGACCGCCGCCCCCAGGGATGAAGTCGACGTCTTCATCAGAAATTTGGTTTGTATGAAACAAAAATAGGTAGGTAGAGGTAAATCTTATCGTAAATGCAGACGTGTTTTTAGAAAAGGGATCGGAAAATGATCAAATACGAAAAATCGTATAGGTAAGATTCCAACTGAATCAGATGAGGTATTCAATTTACAACATTTCCAATTTAACATTTTCCATTCTTCTATGGCTATAACGTCTATTTATAATTACCTACTTATCTATTTTCTGATTATAGAGTCCCCTGATTGCAGTACTGGATATCATTTACAACGTGGTGTACTTCTTACACGTAGCGACAATCGCCATGAATATGTTTTTCTTTTCCGGCAATGAATATCTCGGCACTTGTACTATAGGTTTGTAATATTTGCCCACATGGTTAGCTGTCTATTTTACCAGTGTTTTGTCATCTCAGGTTATCATCATCTATGTCGTTATCGTTGCTGCAACACGAATCTTTTTGAGGCGATTTGTCAGACATTAAGTTATGAAAAGTTTTATGAACCTCGATACCTACTTAATGCTAATTAGCTAGTGCACATCTTTTTAAGTTGTTGTTGGCTCTATTGGACCAACTGCTTAATGTCCTCCAAAAAATCATTCAGATACATTACAAACCTTTGATTTGGCTACGAGAACAGAACAGATGATATGTTTGAATTTTGTTTCAGTGCGTTTCATTTTAGATTTTATATCATTTCTCCATTACGTGTCAGCATTTGACACGGCAAATGTTTTCAAGCTCATCTGCTATTACATTCGCCTGCATAGACCGTTCAAATTTCTTTGTAAGTAGTTAATTTATATTTTTGCTTTAGACTAACTTGACTGCTATGTTGCGCTTTATTTTTATACTGCTAAAGTTCATTCATGCATGTAACAATAACTGAAAATTCACAGGGGAACTGAACGACTACAACTTAAAAGGCAGCATATTGGGCAACACGCTCAAATACTGCTACATATTCTTCGTGTTGAGGGTTACATGGGCATTCGTTTGGATACGTGTCGATGCGGTAATCACCTTAACTTAAACTCAGGTCTTAGAGGTCTATTGGGCTTAATAGATCCTGTGTTGCTATAGCCTTATGGATATACCAGCTCGGGGCCAAATTAAAGGTTCCCCGACTTATGTCGGGGACTATGTCTTATGTCCCATATCATCCTCAACTGTGGCTAATACCGGCTCCAGGATCAAAGTGGGAAAAGCAGTTGTACAGAAAAAAAAAGAGCCCATTTGAGTGACAAATTAAGAATGAAATGACACTCAAAGCTAGATTGTCCTTGAAGCATGTCATTGGTATATCAGACCCAATGTAAACCCGCATTGTTTTAAATAGTTTTATATGCCTCAATTAACATAATATTAAACCTAATGCTTCAGTACGAACGTCAGTACACTGAAGTGGCTCGCCGCAGAACTCTCTTCGAAGTGCAACTGGAGCAAGCGCAGGGGAATCTCACTGACGACTCCACGTACACCGCCGGACAGTTCCTGGTGGCCATCTACATGGTCAACAAGATGTTCATACCGATCGGGTGCGATTTTTGGAGATAATTCATAGAAATAGAGAGCACGCCAATTTATGATACTTAAAAACCTCCATTTTGGTTTCTACTACCTAGTAAGATACTACACTACGGCCTTTACCTTCATTTAAGTATGTGTTGTGAAGTGTCATCATCATCTCATATTATAGAATTACACAGTTTGCATAATCCAATTTTTTTATGTGAGTGAGTACCTACTGCTAACAACAGTGGACAACTCTATAAATATTTAATAACAAAATGTAGAGAAAGAAAGAAACAAGGTTTCAGAAGACGAATAGTATACACATGAGACATGAGTATAATGAGTCATTACAAAGTAACTAGCTAAATGATTAATTTACCTAATATGTTGATTGTTGTGTGGCATACAGAAGTAGAAAGTAGGTTAACTATTAGGAAAATCAAAAACGTCTCCTCGCTCGTTTTTGTGTCGTTGTTTCTCTTCACTATCACTTATGATTATGTATTACCAGACCGTCAGTGGCACCAAGTAACGATATCGAGCGAATAGCTTGCCTTTTGGTGATGATCACGGGCTGCCTTGTGGTGACTGGCGCTGCCGTGGCTTCGTTGTCTCTGGTCATCAGCATCTACATGAGGCCAGAAGAAGCCTTCCGCGCACGCTACCGCCTGATTATGAAAGAAATGGTACGTGTGCTAATGACACTAATGTGATTTAGAATCTGTTATGTCATCATGAGATTGCTAATTCAACTTTGTTTTTATTTTGTGGTAGAAAGAGTCGCACGTGCTTCCTAGTCTACGGGAAAAGGTGGAAACCTTCTACAAGATGTACTGGCACAAACAAAAGGCTGTATCAGCCACACAACTCCTGCCCACATATCCTCCCACTTTACCAGCTACTGTTAACACCGAAATCTACTTTGAGGCCACGCAAAAGGTAACCCTTTAGCATTCAATCCCAACTATATCCCAAATTCTGTGACAGACAAAATTCCACGCGGGCGAAGCCGCGGGCGGAAAGCTAGTAATATTATAAATGCGAAAGTAACACTGTCTGTCTGTCTGTCTGTCTGTCTGTCTGTCTGTCTGTTACGCTTTCCCGCTTAAACTTTGGCATAGAGATAGTTTGAGTCCCGGGAAAGAACATAGGATAGTTTTTATCCCGGTTTTTGAAACAGAGACGCGCGCGATAAAGTTTTTCTGTGACAGACAAAATTCCACGCGGGCGAAGCCGCGGGCGGAAAGCTAGTAAGAAAATAAAATTAAAATAAAACTATCAATTTTAAATTGTCCGTGGCTTTCAGAGTCGTATCCTTTGCGATTTGTCCTATCAGTTTCTGTCTGAAGTGGCGAAGACCATGAATACCATCCATTACATTCCTGGCGATACCATCATCAAGAGGACCACTAGAAAGTCTTCCATCATTTACATCACCTATGGAGATATCGAGGTGAGGTATAATGTAATGAATGACTCTACAAATTCATTTGTACATTTTCAGGAATACAGCATTTATTCCACTTGGAGAACTTGCTGAAAAAAGTCGCAATTGCTCATTAAAAAGTACTTCAATTCCAATACATGGAATATAAAACGAGTTGATGGAATGCAAAGAATAGGGATGTTTCCTGGGTCAAAAAGCAAGAGTTTTAATTAGTCCGTCAGTTAACTTATCAAAAAATACTCTACACGTATTTTTCACTTTTTCAAACTAATGAAAATTGAAAGAGATAAAGCGCGCCAAAGTTCATAAGAAGAGGCCCGTGACGTCAATGCGTGCATAAAATTGCCGCACGTTGTGACGTCGTGCGGAACTTCAACGCACCATAACTATGTAATTATTTGTTAGATTGACAAATAAAAATATATGTGTCCAATATTTTTTGATATTAAACATGACGGACTAAAATGTTTTTTTAGGAAACTAGCCTATTACTGTGGTAATCCATAAGCAGGAGACCACATCGTGCTGGTTGTGGTTGTGGAGAAAATCCGTACATAAAATCATCAGTTGGTCATGTAATGCGAAGAATCAGACAGCACAGGTTGGGTCGACCGCGATATGCGGTTCAGCTATGGATGTCTCATCATAGTCACATCTCCCTTAGGGGGGACAACAGGACTTCAAAAATCCAGTTGTCTCCCTAAGGTAGACAGGGGGAAAACAGGACTGCACCAAATTCCCTAGATGCTGTCTGCCGAAGACGACAGCACAGCAGTGGTGCGCATGACGCGCGGCACGGCGGTCGCGGGGTGCGGTGGAAGCGCGGCCGCGGCGTGCGCGCGCGCGCACGTGGAGATCCGCGCCGCAACCTTCTGCACGGCGCACGCGCTGCACGCGCCCGACCTGTGGCGCGTCGCCAACAATTACGGCCACGACACCCACCAGACGCAGATCATACTGGCTTCTTTTAATGTAAGTCTTTGTGCCACTAAGCGCTCCTGCACCCGACGCCGCCGCCGCGCCGCTCCCGCGTCGCCCCCGCGCCTTTGCACTGTTTATACGCGCCGTGTGAAGCCCGCTGCCGCGCCGCCACCTCGCCGTCGCCGCGCCGTCAAAGCCGGACCGGTGAAATTATGCTTTGACGGCGCGGTGGCGGGCTTTACGCGGCGCGTATGAACAGTGTAGTGGCGCGGCGTAGGCGCGGCGGCGGCGCGGTGGCGGCGTCGTGTGCAGGAGCGCTAAAGGAAATAAAAACTCATAAAAAACTCATAAAACTCATTTATTTCTGTAAGTAGGCTTTAAAAAAGCACTTTTACACGTCCCAGTATTAACCCTACCACTGCTTCAGGACAATAAATGGGCCAGTGCTGAGAAGAAGCAGCGCAAGAAACTCAGACACTAAATGAGGCATTTTCTGACACACCTGTCGTTGTTACTGCCGCTGCATCTCCTATGTAGCGATGATCTACTGCTTGACCTCCAACAAGTATTAATTGTGGCTGCTGTAACGTGTGACCGCTATTATTATGTTAAAGCCTTACCATTACATTTCAGGAACACTTGGAGAGAGTGAAGAAGCACTATAGCCTGAAAATTCCTGAAGATGTCAAGTAATATTATTTTCATCTGCATCCGCATTTTACTGGATTTTCGAAGCTTTAAAATTACTCAGACAATTACTCTACAGGTACAAGAGCAGTATCTTACACTTCAAAAAGAATTTGATGGCTCTGAAGGAAGCCACCGACTCGGATGGCAAGCTGTTATTGGACAGAAGGGACATATTTCTGGAGATTGCCGGCTGCTACATTATGAGAAATGTAGGTCTAATAAATAATCTCTGCCAGATATGAACTCACAGACCATCGAGTACTTTCTTTTATCTTAGCTGTAGGCTGTCTTTCTCTACTTTAAATTTTCTCTCAACTATCAGCGCGCAGATGGAAGACAGACTGACGAGGCCGATGCCATCTGCCTCCGTTCTACGTTCCCCTGCATCCTGCAGCCGTGGTCTTCCCTGCAGATCGCCTGGCACTCCTTCATGTGCTGTGTCATCCTCACCGTTTGTTTTGTAAGGAATTTCATTTTACATTTACATGCAGGCACAATAATGATGCACATTATAAGACCGGTAGTTTTCATTAAGGTAATAATGTTTCTTTTATTTTTAATCTAGACGCATCCCTATTTCCTGATTTTCAAAAAAACGGTGCCTTTGGAATTTAGATTCTTTGACTACGTGGTGACGGCGCTCTATCTGGTTGATTTGATTGTTCATCTTTCGACTGGTGCTAACGTTGAAGAAGGTTCGTTTATTTTTACTTTAACATACTGAGGCTTACAGCTAAGTTGTCCGGCGTCCGCCTATACCAAACATAATATTTTTTATCATGAAGAGTGTACAATAGGGGTTTTTAGTGTAACATATTATTATTTTTTACTAGCAAGCCTGTTTTAGGTAATCAGTTACTTCTAAACTAAGGTATTATACTAAAAAGATCCTATCTATGTCATTTTAATACTGTTCTAGGAGTTCCAATAACCTTCGCCCAGACGTCGTCCCAGCAGATGCGCAGCCACTGGTTTGTAATAGACGTGGTCGGCACCCTGCCCATCTTCGAGTGCATACAGTCTGCTGACCACTTTGCTGGGATCAACAAATTGCTTCGGCTGCCGAAGGTAAACTGGCGACAAATTGTCCCGCAAAGGTATCATGCGTGAACAATGTCAAACAAATAAATAAAACCGACTTGACTTCTATAGGTACTTCTTATAGCTGATAGATAATAACGCCTACGCCGCATATGGCTGGGCCACATGCGTAAGGACTCTTTGACCACGCGGCGGCGCGACACTGGCCACCAAGAAAACATAATTCTTTTTTCATCGAGGAATTTCGACAATCTTTTGTTTTTTCTCTCGTTCTTGACTCGAATTTGTAAATAATAATGTAATTGTGTGTATGCTTTATTAATCTAAGTGTGTATGTAATTTAACTAATTTACATTTTTACTCCGAATTTCGAGTATATTTTATTTCCACGACTACTACAAAGCCCGTCCGTACATAGAGACATTAACTCTCTAAAAGTACGATGTTCAAACAATACCTACGATAGAGATGATGAATATTGATGAATGAATAATATTTTATTTTCATTGATTAATTTCCTTCATTTACTATTGTATTGTTTTTAGGTGTTCCGAGTGCTCAAATCCATGGAGGAGATGTGCGTGTACAACAGTAACGTATTACGGTTCATGTCTTACACCCTGCTGCTGGTCATCGCGTGCTACCTCATCGCCTCGATACAGCAGGGCTTTATGTGCTTCAGGTCGGTTCCCTGGTAAAGCCCGGTCCGTGAGCACGTAGAATTTTGTCCAATGACCCCTAGCTACCCATCATGTGTTGCTATCGCGCTCGCACACTCACTGCGGGTGCCAGTCGCACAGTCGCGACAGCAATATAATTACGCGCGAGCAATAAGGATGGGTAGCTAGGGGTCATTGGACAAAATTCTACGTGCTCACGGACCAGACTATTCCTACACTATAATGCTAAAAGAAGTAAGAGGGTTCTAGAGTAAATTACCAGGTAGATAAGGTGACTTGGTGCTTTAAATCGTGTCAGTTTAACCAGTGTCATGATTTTAGTGGCCTATTTCTCGAACACTATGTATTCCAGGTTCAACTATTGTCTAGTCGGCAACTTCACCCACCCTCCGTATTGGAAGAACAGCACCCTGGACGAGGAAACTGTGGTGCACCGGCTCATCTTCGGCCTCTACTGGGCTATATCCATGATCACCTTTACGAGTAGGTCCATTCAGAATGAGGGCTATCGTTTTTATACTTAACAGTTGGCACCCCTGGCGATTGACAGGACCTTACTCTACAGTGGCGCCATCTTGATGAGTGCAAATGCGATAGTCCTCCAACCACTTTAGCGCTCACCAGTTGGTGCTACTGTCTTGGCTACTAGCAAGTGACAGGACCTTACTCTACAGTGGCGCTAACTGGTGAGCGCTAAAACGATAGCCCTCATTCAGACACGTATTTTATTAAAATTCAGTGTATGTAGGATTGTAGGTATCCCTAGATAATAAGCTCTATAATAATCAACTGGTTATGAGCAATGTATCTCTAGCTTTTTTCTTAGCATAAGCTTAGGCGCAGACCACCGACTTTGGCCGATAATTGGGTCGGGATGTTAATCAGTATGGAGATGTATGAAAGTGCGCACATTACACCGATTTGGTATCCGCCGATTATTCGTACAAATTAAAATCGGACCCAACTATCGGCAAACTAAAAGTCAGTGGTCTGCGCCTAGGCTACAAGCTTAGTTAAATCAACTAGTTTTAAAATGAACTGTGAATGCGGATTCATTCCTTTTGTAGCTCATATGGAGCCTTTTGGAGTGGAGAACTGGCACAGCGTTTTGTACACTATGGTGGTGTTGGAGATTTGTATCGTGCTGCACATATTCATCGAGGCGGTGTATTCGGCCACCATCATGGTTACTACGGCTCTGAGGTATGTGCTCAATCAGTATTAAATTGGTGAGGGAGAATAAGTGAAGTAAGAAAAATGTCGCTCACAAGATTGCCTTTTCATCAAGCCTTAATTTTTTTCTTTGGTTTTTCAGAGAAGACTACGACTCTTGTATTGCAAATGTCAAAGACTTTCTTATTAGAAATGAAGTGGATGAGCAGCTCCGGCAAAGGTTTATCACGTATCTGCAGCTATGCTGGTATACGGATAAGGTGTGTAACTGTGTAAAAGTAGATTTAAAAGCATACCCCGATGCAAATTCTTCGATACCAAAATTTTATACAAACTAGTTTAAGTACCTACAACTTTGGAATAGGACTGACTGACTTTGAAATTTGGATTGCTTTTTGTATAATTAATACATTATTTTCATGTTTAGGTACTCATATTGTTTAATGATTTAGGCGTACTCAATGACGAATAGAAAGACCTCGATCTTCTACGACCTGCCTCCTCACGTGTACCAGAACATCGTGACTAGACAGAGAAGCAAGTACTTGCTCAGTATACCATTTATGAAGGTAAATGCATAAGTTTACATTAAGTACAAGACCAGTCGCGTTTAAATTAGTTAGACCGACTTTACACCAGAAAGTTATTAATAAGTGAACCTTTAATTACTGCATTGTTATAATTTACCTTAGTTACTCAACAAAGAGGAGCTGAAGAATGTGTCCTCTAAAGCAAAGTTGTTCTACACGACTCCAAACGAGATCCTCTTAAACACTGGAGACATCAGCAACGAGATCTACCTCATCAAACAGGGCATTTGTGAGGTAGGTAGACAATTTAATATCTACCTGTAATATTGGCAGTTTATGTACCTATATTTCTGGTTCTTTTATAGATTGTTGACCCCGACACAAAAGAAGTGGTAGGATCTCTTGGCGTGAAAAGCCACTTTGGTGTTCTCGAGTGCTTACTACGTAAGTAATTCTGAGATGCTTCATTGAATAACAAAATCACATAGTTTATTTTTGTCTCCTTTTCGCCCGAAAACTCCTCAGCGAAAACTGAACTCTGATACAATACACGGTGATCTGATAATGGCACGGCCGTATTATACCTAACAACTACTGGTTTAGTTAGAGTTTAGATGACGATATAAGTTGCTGAAAAATCTGTATACAGGTGTACCAGCTTACTACACCGTGAGAGCGGTGACCCACGTGCAGGTGTTCACGATCTCGACGAAAGTGCTGTCCAAGGCCATGAGTCTGCCCAAGATCAAGGATGCGGTGGAATTCGCTAAGGAGCAACCCGTAAGCCCTTAACACCACTCAAAAGAAAAAAAATCTGGGTCTCGTTTACCGTTAGATACTGTGGTTCGTCATGGTTTAAGCAGCCACTAAAACATAGTGTTCGTTAGCTTTTGCATTAGCAGATTTATTAGAGTTCATCATCCTTTTTGTTTGCTTTACGTCTTATGCTCAGGCTTGTGATATTTACTTTACTTTGGAAGAGTTCGGGCGGCTGACGGTAGAGTTCGTTAGCTTTTGCTTACCAGTTTGTCCTTGTTATTTGGTCCACCAGTCTTATTTTCAAGCTTATAACTTTGATTTTAACTTGGCCAGGAGTTCGGTCGGCTGGCAGTGAGACGCGAGTCGTTCCTTCGCTACGAGGCGCCGGAGAAGGCGCCCAACATGATGCGGTTCCGACTCCCGCGCAAGTATGAGGAGGACTTCGCGTTCCTGCACCCCTTCAACAGGCTCGGATACTTTTCTATACTCAGGTAATTTCATTTAGTTATATACTAGTTTTCCTCTGTACATTTTGAGTCCTGAAAATGGTTTCTAAAGGCCATTGACGAAAAAGTCGAACAAGACGAATATTTTTCCATAGTCAAATTAAACTTTTTTCTTTCTGCTATCGGCAATGAAGAATGTTCACTAATTTTGTTTTTTAGCTTTCTGTATTCTCTGTTAAAAATAAAAAATACATGTGAAAGAATTATTTCGATACGTCAATTAGTTTCCAAGATATTGAATTTTAAAAGTGCGGGCGGCGGCCGGCCCGCCATTTTATGCGCGTGACGTCATATTACAGTGACTGGCTCATATTTGTATGGATGGAATCTTGCAAGCTGAATTAAGACCCACTTCCAGGCAACCGATTAAGCTGAAATTTCGCAAACACATGTGATTTGGATGACCATGCAATATTATGATGACATGGAGCTGATCTGATGATGGAGCTGGAAGGTGGCCATAGGAACTCTATAATAAAACGACTTAAATGCATCGAGTTTGGGCTGCTTCGTTGTGGTGCGTCGTGGTTCGTTTTGTATTGATTAGTATTTTAATTCTATATAGTAATCGGGGTCTAATGATGGAGTTGGAAGGTAATTCGCAATAAAACGACACAATCGCATCAAGTTTAGGTTTGGTTCAATTTTAATTTCTGTGATGGGTCTGGGTGTTAATATGTATAATAAGTTTGTATTTACAAAAAAAAATATTTAAGTATGTTCATATCCGTTTTCTAGTGAGCGGACACTGTGAATGTACGTCACGCGGGGTCACGTGACCGTCGGCGGGACTCAATATTTAAGCGAACTTTGAATGCCTATAAAATCATAACTACTGGGTATTTTTAAATGAAATAATACCTGTTTGTATTATTATTATAAAGAGCAGTGGTTTAAGCTTAACTATAACATAGGTTTCAAGTGATTTTGCATACCTAATAACATTCTCAATTGTAGTTTCACATGACTTACGAGTACCTAAGTATCCCAGGAATAAGAAAATAATGAAATTTCTAATGAGTGAGTTAACACCTAATCCTGAATCAGAGTCTGCTAATGTAACAGGAATAGCCCTACATTGTAGAGCTCGCCGTCTTGTATAAAAGTTATGCACGTTGGACCGGTGTGTCTCTCCCCAGATACATATTCCCGCGCTTCACCATCCGTCCCGACGGCGACTACTTATTGCGCTACGAGTGGTGCCGCGCCTTCTGCGCGCTGCTGTCCGCCATCGTGTTCCCGTCCTACTCCTACCTGGTGCTGCAGTGGCCCGGCCTCTACTACTTCTCCTGGCTTCTGGACTTATCTGCTTACTTCGACATGTAAGAGATAACGGGCATTAACATCAGACCATTTAGTATTCCCAGGAGGAAGATCCACTATAATTTAACAGGCAAATGGAGGAATAAGCTTACAATTTCCACTTTGGCCAGATAGGATGGGATGGAGATGAATGATGTTCCATAATTATTACTCCTTTAATCTAGGATGTCGTAGGAATAGGAACCACGCTAACAGCAGACAACGTTAGCTAGAAGAGAATAAGTTGTAGTAAGATCTTCTTTTAGTGCCAGGCACCCCGGTGCTTCTGTCCCGTCAACGGAGAGGATGGAAAAAAGTGTTTTATCAACCCCAGTAGTAGTCTTAGCGTTTAACGGGGTGGATGGCTCAAGTCCAAAAAGTTAGAAGACGAAGACTCGTGCATAATTACCTATTGTTTACTGGTGTCAAATACCAAATTTATTCTCGTCAGTATACTATTAGATATTTTATTTATTTTCAGATTACAGCGCATGCTGGTAGGCTACTTCAACGAGCAAGGCGTATTAGTATACCATCCCACCAGTACCGCGGCACACTACGTGAAAGGTGCTTTCTTCGCCGATATGATGGCCTGCATGCCTCTGGAATTCCTCGAGTCTCCTCATAGGGAGTCATTTGGTAAGTGTCACTTTATCATGATCTTCTACTGTTTTGGTGATACGCTGCAGTATACCGGTCTGTGACGCAACTCCTGTATAGCCGGGATTTACAGTTTGAACACCAATAACCATTCCATTTCTGCAGAGACACAAAGAATAACTAACTACTTCTTGCTTGAAAAATGTGAACGCCCAAGAAATTTCCAGAGAATAACTACAGACTGACGCAGCTTTTACACAAAACACGCATTTGCGATCTGTTCACGTTACAACTTCGTTTGAACTAGCTGTCAAAGCGACACTGCGATACGAATTTGTGCAAACAGCTGAAGTTCGTTCGTCGTCCGGTCGCATTGCAGTTCAAAATATTTACCACAATCGGGTCGGGGCGCTTGATTTACAGTTTGAACGGCAATAAAAACCCAACCAGTCCATTTCTGCAGACACAAAAAATAACTAACTTCTTGCTTGGAAAATGTGAACGCCATAGAAATTTGCAGAGAATAACTACAGACTGACGCAGTCCCGGCAGCTGCTGATGCTGAACCGGCTGCTGCAGCTGTACCGGCTGCCCAGCGCCATGATCGCGCTCGAGAACAAGATCGGGAGGAGGGACTTGCTGCTTGTGTGAGTAACTTTGTTGCGTGTGTCTCAAAGACATTTGAGTGTTAAATGCATTTATTTCAGTGTAAAAAAGACAGAACTATTATTGCAACTGTGCATAGTATGTAAAGCTTTAGAAGCTGCAACATTAGGTTGAGAAATAGCTCCGTAGATCCGGGTCTGTATAGTGCAGTGAAATCTTTCATTAGTACCGGTTTAGCTCTTTGTGTTAAGGGAACATCTGGACAGTACCAGGAGTATGCACAGTTCAGTTGTAGCAAACATAACTTCACTATTCAGGCTGTTATTTATTCCAGGCTCAAAGCAATACCTCTGTTCCTGGCGCTGCTGAACGCCCTGACCTGCTTCATGGTGTTCAACTCGGTGAACATCTTCCACTCCGAGAACAGCGACAGCTGGCTCATAGTACCGCTAGCGGACCAAGGCGGATCTTGGGTCAACCTCTTTAGCAACACTTGTTAGTGCTGTGATTTGTTGTGATGTTTAATTTAAACAATTTGTTTTAGAATTAAACATCGAAGAAGGGCACAATATGCTCAGTTCAGGGTTCAGTCCTGTTTATCTCTGTATGAGTCAGGGCCCATCTTTCTAGCATAAAAAGGCAGATATTTACCCGACTGCGCCAGAAGGAGGGATATTTCTATTTCCGGGTTCCGTAGTCCTGACAAGGAAACCCTTATAGTTTCGTCATGTCTGTCTGTCCGTCTGTTTTCTTTTGCTTCTACACGATATTCTATGTAAAAATGTGACCTGACGCGGGTGTGAGGAGACGAGTACAATCAAACCCATGGCATTCCCAGTTGGTCGTCTATTTTCATTATACGTTCAAAGAAAGACTTGATGTTATGTCATGAATGCAGTTCGCTTCAACATGACGGAGACGCCGTTCAACCTGCACCTGGCGACGCACTTCTGGGTGGTGTACGAGACCACCACCACCGGCTACAACAGCTTCAACCCCAGCAACTTCCAGCTCATGGAGATACTTTTCGTGGGGATGGTCATTGGTAAGTAACATGGACTCTACTTTTACAATTTCGACCCAATGTTAAACACGTGCACCGCTGAACTTCTTTTATTGCTCAATAGCTTTTAGTATTTGAAAAGAACCCGCTATATCCTCGCACCGCTCATCTGCACATCGTTCGTTTTTTAGCTTAGCTACACATCTTCACATCGCCTATTTCCTTGCATATATTATCTCTAGTGGAAACACCTACTCCGTTTCACAGCTTCGCTACACATCCTCGTTCCACTCATCTTTGTAGCATATCTCTGATGGGAACTCAGCCAAACGCTTGTCGTTGCTGTCTGAGAAAACCTTTTCATTATACCCAATCATTTTGAGATGTATAATTTCCGGTTAAATTCATAAGATTTGCATAAAGAAAAGTGAAGTAGAGAGTTCTACAGTTGTTTGTATACGCAGGCGCGATGATCACGACGTACTTCTCGGTGCGCATCATCAGCATCCGCGCCAACGTGAACAAGGAGCTGGCCGCCTACCAGGAGCACATCAAGGACATCCTCGTCTTCATGCGCCGGGAGAAACTTAACAAGAAGCTGCAGAAGTAGGTTTTGTTTTATTTTGCCATCAAGAAGTATTTACAATGCTCAATGAATGAAAAGTTAAAGATAAGTTAGTAGCAACAGAAAAGCTCTATTGACTCGCATTTCATGTGATTTATTGAAAACGTTCTGGTACTTCTGGTTTAATAAATGATTAAAATAATGTCTAACTATTGTTATAGCATGAAAAGTCTAGTAACTTGAAACTTACTTTCTGAAACTACGAGTAAATATGCAGGAAAGAGAATCAGCGTCACATTTACTTATTACCTCAACCTGCAGGGAGGTTATCAGTTATTACGAGTACAACTGGGACAAGATGGGCGGAGTGGACTACACCAACGTTCTGAAGCTATGCGACCAGATCACACTGCGCACCGATGCCATACTGCACATCTACGGACCTGTTTTCGCTAGGGTAGGGTGTAGCTCCAGCATTATTTTGTTACATTCCAAGTGCGACTGCAAAAAAATATGACACTCTTTTTTCCATTGTTTATTTATCCAGTGCCCCCTTCTCTCTGACTGTGACGTGTCACTCTTGCGCATGGTGGGGCGAGCTGTGCGCAGCCTGTATTTCCTGCGGGACATGCGGCTGGTGGAGGAAAATGACGTCATCGGCTGCATCTACTTCGTCGACTACGGCTCCGTCGACGTGCGCATGTCCTCCGAAACCGATCCCAGTGCTGACTCCACTGTTATAGCCAAGCTTACACGCGGCAGGTTGGTTTCCAAACAGGATACATGGAGAAGGTCAAACGCTCAACAACTTGCACGCTATTAGCTACTGTAAAATAGGTTCAAAATAAAATAAAAAATCAGTTTAGACCACAAGTGGCACTTATGAACGTCAAAATATAGTAAATAATAAAAAAGAAAAGGTAGCCCATACATGTCTCCTTATCTTTTGGGCCCTACCAGCGCTTCGAGACAAACTATGGCAAGTGCTGAGAAGAAACGCCGGAACAAACGATCTAAATAGAAGTTGTGATCTCATGTACAACTTCCGCTTAAAGTCGTATTGCTCTATTTACTTTAGTTTTCAACCGACTTCAAAAAAGGAGGAGGTTCTCAATTCGACCCGTATGCGTACGGGACGTACTTACCTGCACCTTCCCTTGCCTGAATTCCAGTAAAGGTTTTTTATGGCGCACGTATTTCCCTTTTCAAATACCGGGAATCCGGGATACAAAAGTATCCTATTTTTACCTTGAATTTCAAACATCTCTATCCTTCCTCTAAACCTGTTCAAGGGTTTATGCGTGAAAAGTAACGGACAGTTAGGTACTGTTCCTTTTTAAATATTAGTATTGATGCTCTGCTATCTGTTTTATAACGATTATTAGCTTGTTTAGTCTTGCAATCTTCCTCTTCACGTAGTGTGTTCGGCAACCTGGAGAACGCCACGACAGTGCGCTGCCCGGTGTCCATCGTGGCGTCGTCGCGCACGCACGTGCTGCAGATCAACGCGGCCGCCTTCCACCGCATCATCGCCGACTTCCCTCAAGTCGCTGACACTATGCAGCAGTACCGCCAGCAAAACGAGGTGAGGACAAAGGGCAGACCTATTATTTACTGTGAGTCCACCATGGTCCAGTGTACTCGCGACGCCTCTAACCGTCAGAAATGGAAGCACATCGCCAGGAGAGCTACCCTCGGAGATGACATCACCCCACCATGTACCTCGTCAGCGCAACCACGACCACTCTAATAAGAGTGCCCGACTAAGAAGAAGATTATTTACTGCAACATTTAGCGTAAAGCTGAAAATACTTAGTAGCTGTAAGCCTTCTTAATGGCTGCACCAGCTGCACACGAACATCCTTATTTGAAATTAGTTTTCCTTTTGTATTCATGTTTAAATTTGGTATCTGTAATCCGATGATAACACAAAAATGCAACGGGTGGCTGGACGTACTAGTCCAGTCAATAAAGCATTATAGATGGAAATCCGTGGAACACAATTTTTGACTTCGGGACTTTATTTAGACTAGTTAGGAGGTGAACATAGCAAAAGTCCCCGCCCTTAGCCCTTGAGCCGGCGGGGTGAGGGGGGTTTAAAGGTACCACTTTTCGGTTTTTCGCTTAATCCTCGGAAACTATGAGTCCTAGTGACATGACTATTATGAACCAAAAAAAGCTTATTCACTTTGCTACAGGTGAGACAGTCAAGTTTTTCTATATCTTTTATAGTTTTCACGGCATCTGCTCTAGAAGGTCCGTAATTTTGGAAATTTTATTTTTGTCTTACATGTTCCCATCAGGAGAAAATCGACTAAATCAACATTGAGCAAATATTTTAGACATGCGGAAGAATGTTAAGCCTAGTTCCAGGGAGAGGACTGCACTGTGCGTATATTTAGATGAATCAATTGGAGCCACTTTTGACTCCACATCACTCAAAAACTACTGTGCATTAACACTTCAAATTTGGCTCATGTGTTGAGACTTGCAAGATAAACATCAGCTTCAAATTTCATAAATATACCTCAAACGGTTCTTTAGGTATTGACGTCCAAAAATCTACATATCTGACCTATAGACCAAATTCTAACAACTTCCAGATGACCTTGAAGGTTCAAATTTGGCATACAGATAGGTAGATGTGTAAATACAAAGGAACAAATAAAAAAACCAGTAAATTTTAACATTTTACATTTTTAGATAGATTTTAGTGTTCTAAATGTCGATTTTTGAACGTCAATACCTAAATAACCGTTTGAAGTGTATTTATGAAATTTGAAGCTGATGTTTATCTTGCAAGTCTCAACACATGAGCCAAATTTGAAGTGTTAATGCACAGTAGTTTTTCAGTGATGAGGAGTCAAAAGTGGCTCCAATTGGGTCGTCTAAATATACGCACGGTGCAGTCCCCTCCCTGGAACTAGATGTTGATTTAGTCGATTTTCTATGTATGGGAACATGTAAGACAAAAATAAAATTTCCAAAATTACAGACCTTCTAGAGCAGATGCCGTGAAAACTATAAAAGATATAGAAAAACTTGACCGTCTCACCTGTAGCAAATTGAATAAGCTTTTTTTGGTTCATAGTAGTCATGTCACTAGGACGCATAGTTTCCGAGGATTAAGCCAAGGTTTTCCACAATGAACGGTCCTGCGCTGCCCGCATCCAGGCTCTTCCCGCGACCTTTACCAGATCGTCGGTCCACCTAGTAGGAGGCCTGCCCACGCTACGTCTTCCAGCCCGTGGTCGCCACTCGAGAACTTTCCTGCCCCAACGGCCATCGTCTCTACGAGCTATGTGCCCCGCCCACTGCCACTTGATTTTAGCAATTCTGCGAGCTATGTCGGTTACTTTGGTTCTCCTGCGGATCTCCTCATTTCTGATTCGATCACGCAGGGAGACTCCGAGCATAGCCCGCTCCATCGCCATTGGTATCTGTAATCCGATGATAATACAAAAATGCAACGGGTGGCTGGACGTATAGTAAATCCCTCTTATTCAGACTACGACGAATGGTCAGCTTTAGGCCCACTGTGTTTTTTTAGACCCCTGATGAAACACGTAAACATTTAGGCCACACTGTTCTAGTCAAATAATAATTAACATAAACACTTAGCCTAATTTGAAGGTAATGGTTGCTAATTTTCTTTTTTCCAGAACTACATTATAGCCGCTGAAGAGTCACAGAAACGTAAGCCCAGCCTTGCCGCGATCCTGTTCACATCGCGCGAGGGCATCAGCCAAGTCTACTTCGATGACGAATACGTTCAGCTCTACCTCATCATCGTGTCCTTGTCCTGCATCTATGCGGACCTTTACAATGCCGGCTTCCAGAACAATAGCATGCCGCTAATCATAGTGCTGTATGCTCTCGACGTTGGGTTTTACCTGAAGATTCTGATGCAATACTCGCTGCCACATATTATGCCGGAGCGCATGAAATCGACGTTTCTGCCTTTAAGACGTGTGTGAGTTTTTACTAGTGGACAATTTAATTCTATGTAAACATAAAAGGTTCTTGAGTGGCGACCACGAGCCGGAAGACGTAGTGTGAGCAGGCCTCCCACTAGGTGGACCTCAGATCATAGAAGGAAATGTATTCTATGATCTGAGAGGTAGACCGACGATCTGGTGAAGGTCGCAGGAGATGCCTGGTTGCAGGCGGCACAGGACCGGTGTTTGTGGAAAACCTTGGGGGAGGCTTTAGCAGTGGACGTCTTTCGGCTGAAACGATCAAAACAGAAAAGGGTATGTTTCACCACTAGCTGATGTGCAAAGACTTCATCCTATTAAGAACTTCTCTCCAGAGACCGGCGAAACTGGCCCTGAATAGTTTTTAAGAAATAGTTACTGGTATGAAGACTTGAAATTGAGTAAATTGTGTAGGTATTTCAAGACTGAGTTCAAGTACGACCTGACATCGTGCCTGCCGTTCGAGCTGATATCCTTCGGTTGTGGGCGGTACCAGTGGATGGTGTTCTCCTACTTGCGGCTGAACCGGCTCTTCAGGATCGTAAGGATCGCTCAGTCTTATTTAATCACTCTTTATAGGGAGTATTTAGAGCTACCTAAAATATATTACATGAAGTCTTTCTTCCTACTTTAATTTTGTTTAACAATCATGATAGCGGCACATCATGCTGGTAGTGTATTAACATTGTAAAATCAATACCGTCGACACTCAGTGGAGTGGGTAATCAAGATCATTATCTTTAAATAGAATTAGCTAGCCCTAGTCTTTGGTGCCAGTTAGTTACAGCTTATGATAGACTGCTGAAGTGCCTGTTTGCTAATTCATTTGCACAACAGAGTGGGTATTCAACTATGTTAATTCATATTCTAAGGTAGAGTGGATAGGTACCTATTCAAGGCGTTCAAGCTTACGTTTTATCATGGGAGCTATTATTAAGATGACGAGGGCACTAATGTTCAGTGGCGTAGGGTGCCTTTAGGCGGGTCCTATAACAAAATTTGTTGGAGGCCCCATCAAAAATGGTCATTTAGATTATGGGACCCTTTTCATCTAAAAAACGTCATTGCAAAATTATAGAACTTCAAGTATTTGCCTAGATGCATACCCAGTACTCTGTCTATTCAAAACAGTCTAGCACTGGGGCCTCTATGTTCCGGGGGCCTCGTATCATTGATACGGCGTAGCCCCTGCTAACCAGTACACTTATGGATAACGCATTGTAAAACTTTTGCATGCATCCAGGTGACGGTGTACAACTGCCTGAAGAAGCACCATTCGCACATCACGGTGAACCTGACCCTCAGCACGGTTTTCTCGGTGCTGGTGTGGTTTACTCTGTTCGTGCACACCGCCGCGTGCCTCTGGCACTTCATCAGCTTGATCGAGGATAATGCCAAGGCTAACTCGTCCTGGATATACAATGGTCAGTCTAAAGCTTCAACCACTCCAACGCGTGTGATCATAGGCTACTGACAGGTCGCGCGACCTATGACAGTCCGCGCGACCTGTCATTGGCCTATGATCGCGCCGTGATCGTGCCGGCGATGGCGATGGCGATGGCACATGTTGGTGTGGTTGAAGCATTACTGTAAAGCTATGAGCGTAAAAGATCAGCTCATTATCTTAGGACCTAGCTAGGCCTGGTATTTGATGTGAGGCTCTACATCTTATTTTAGAAACTGTATATTTTGTACTAGTTTATCTACGCTAATTATGACGCTGGCAAATGCTTGTGAACTTTGTTAGTTACACTTTGGCATGCTTATAACGCTTGCGCAATACATTTTTTATTTAAATATTGGGTCTTGTAACAGCTTTCATCTAATGATATTAATTAACGTTAAAGTTTATACTCGTAGGGAAGTTATTTACCGAAATGCTTTTCAGATTCTGGTGGCAGCCTGTGCCATAACCTCTACGTTTGCTCCGTGTATTTCGTTCTAACTACCTTCACGCAGAACGGTGTTGGAGATATCATGCCAAAGAACCATGCTGAGGTGGGTAAAAATTTAACCCATAAATCACTCAAGCTTCGCTTTTCTTTTGTTGGTCACCGTAAAATCCAACGATGTCGATAGTTACTGAAACAATTCGTGTAAACAAGCCTTGCGGGTTTTATTTAACTAATCATTCATCGAGGAATTTCATTTACGCCAAATGTTTTAATGTACAAGGAACAATATTTCAAAGATCACAGGAAGAATATGACAGGCGGCTAATGCGTGCGCTGGCACATCTGGCTTCTGAGATATAAATTAATTAGTATCTAGTCTAGTAGCGACGCCCAAACTTCAAAAATCTGCTTTTTAATTAGAAATTCATAAAATTATTACGTTTACCCATTCCTAGCCTAAATAACTGAACCAATTTTTATGCATATATTGTAGAGATCGATATGACCTGTAAAGATGACATTATTTTCGTTCTGAACTATTTCAGCGGGATTTTTTGAATTGGAATGTAATCTTGAAAATAAGTACTTGTACAGTTTGATACAAACACTTCCAGTGACTACTTTCGATATGTTTCGATATGAAAGCTCGGAATCGTGCGCCCGCGCAGCGTCTTTTGATCGCGCGCCAAACCGCCAGCTATTATCTGCATCGAACAACAAACATTATTGAAGTTATTAACTATGCAATACATCAGCTGGAAACAACAGCTCGAATGAAACATGTTTTTTAAATTTTAACTTACGAGAAGGCTGTTTTATTTCGGCGATAAATTAGTGTTTCACGGCTTTATCGGGGGTCTTCTCTGTCGTCATTCTTGTTTCTGCCCATTGATACGGGACTATTCCCACCNTGAAACTGGCCCTGAATGATTTTTAAGAAATAGTTACTGGTATGAAGACTTGAAAGTGAGTAAATTGTGTAGGTATTTCAAGACTGAGTTCAAGTACGACCTGACATCGTGCCTGCCGTTCGAGTTGATATCCTTCGGTTGTGGGCGGTACCAGTGGATGGTGTTCTCCTACTTACGGCTGAACCGGCTCTTCAGGATCGTAAGGATCCCTCAGAGTCTTATTAAGTCATTGTTTATCGGAAGTATTTAACAACTTCTTAAAGAATTATGTATTTACCTCATGAAGCATTTTTACTTTAATGTTGTTTAATAATCATGGTAGCAGCGTATCATGCTGGTAGTGTATTAACATTGTAAAATCATTATCGTCGGCACATGATGTGGACAGACTATTGATCAAGGTCTACGTAGTCGTAATTTACCACTAGCCAGTACACTTAAGCTTCCAACACACCGACGCGTGCAGATCGCCATCGCCATGGCGCGATCAAAGGCCAATGACTGCACGCGTTGGTGTGGTTGAAGCTTTAAGGATAAAGCGTTGTACGAGGCTTTAGCTGATGAGTACAGCTATTTCACGTATTCAGGTGACGGTGTACAACTGCCTGAAGAAGCACCACTCGCACATCACGGTGAACCTGACCCTCAGCACGGTTTTCTCGGTGCTAGTGTGGTTCACTCTGTTCGTGCACACCGCCGCGTGCCTCTGGCACTTCATCAGCTTGATCGAAGATAATGCCAAGGCTAACTCGTCCTGGATATACAATGGTCAGTCTAAGAGTCTACGTTTTGTTACAGCTGTCTACAACTGCAGCTAACGCCACCTGTCGGCGGCAGTCGTCGAAGTGGCGTCGGCTGCCATCGATGAGTCGACAGCTGCCGCCAAAAGGTGGCGAGTGGCGATAGCTGCCGTTGCCACTGCCTTCGGCTATGAACAGCTCGTGTATAAGAATCCTAACTGTAAAGCTATGAGCGTAAAATATCGGTTCAGATCATCTTAGGACCTAGCTATGCCTGGTCTTTGATGTGGCTCTACATCTTATATTAAAAACTGCATATTTTGTGCTTGTTTATCTACGCTAATTATTATGACGCTGACAAATGCTTCAATGAGCTTTGTTAGTTACACTTTGCCATGCTTATAACGCTTGCGCAATACTTTTATATTTAAATATTGGGTCTTGTAACCGCTTTCATCTAATGATATTAACGTTAAAGTTTATACTCGTAGTTATTTACCGAAATGCTTTTCAGATTCTGGTGGCAGCCTGTGCCATAACCTCTACGTTTGCTCCGTGTATTTCGTTCTAACTACCTTCACGCAGAACGGTGTTGGAGATATCATGCCAAAGAACCATGCTGAGGTGGGTAAAAATTTAACCCATAAATTACTCAAGCTTCGCTTTTCATTTGTTGGTCACCGTAAAATCCAACGATGTTGATAGTTACTGAAACAATTCGTGTAAACAAGCCTTGCGGGTTTTATTTAACTAATCATTCATCGAGGAATTTCATTTACGCCAAATGTTTTAATGTACAAGGAACAATATTTCAAAGATCACAGGAAGAATATGACAGGCGGCTAATGCGTGCGCTGGCACATCTGGCTTCTGAGATATAAATTAATTANTTTCTGCTTTTTAATGTAGGTTTTTTGGAGTCGGTTTTATTTTTTTTTATAAAATTTTACTTATGTTAACTTGTGACAAAAGATTGTCTACATGACAGGCTTAGCCTAGCGTAGAAATCTCAGTTACTTTATGAACTGAAGCGTATGTCGGTACAACCTTAGCATTAAACGGGTCTTTAAGGAAATGTATGTACAACAATGCAATGTAAGCAATGTAAAAAATGTTAAAGTTGTTAAATAAACTTTTATTTATTTATTTATTTATTTATTTTATTTATTTGGCAAGTGCTGAGAAGAAGCGCCGCAACAAACTTATGCTGGATATCTATATTTAATCCTAATCCAAATTGGACGGATTTGGATTGTCAACTGTCAAATTTTAATACGTTTTTGGCCAAAATATCTGCGGTTTTTGATGTTTTTACATTATTATATTGTTTATAAGACTATTTAAACAATATTAAAGTGTAAATGCATCGAACGTTTCGGAAATATAATCTAAAACTGAATTCAATTTGACAGTTGTAATCCGGATTTGGACAAGGATTGAATATAGGAAACGGGCGTTAGTCACCACTGTCTGCCGGTTTAAAGATATACCTATTATGGTCTCATCATAGCTCCAATGTTTGCGTGTTAGATCTAGACCCAAAATCTTAGCACTATTTATTTAATTATGAAATTCAAAAGGTGGTGGGTCTAACATAGACTAACTTTAAAAAAAAACCGACTTCAAATGCGTACACAAAAAAAAAGTAAAAATTAAAAAAAAGTTCTACCCTTGGGGGTGAAATATTTTCTACAAATTCGCATGAAATCACCCTTTTGATAATACCTATTCAACAAAAAAATAATTGTTCAAATTGGTTCATAATCGGCGGAGATATTGCGTATAAAAAAGTTCATTCCCAATTTTCCACCCTTGGGGGTTGTTTTTTCAATTATTAAATTTAAATGGGACCACCCTTGAGGTATTACCTATACGCCGAAAAAAGATTTGTTCAAATCGGTTCATAAAATTGGCGGAGATATCGCGTAACAAACATAGAAAAAAAAACATACGGGTCGAATTGAGAACCTCCTCCTTTTTTGAAGTCGGTTGAAAAATCATACATCAATACATTGCAAATCGATATTTATTTGCATAACGATCGAAGTATCCATCATGGCGCCTGCCCGCTGGCCATATTTAATCCCATTATTTATACTAATATTATAAATACGAAAGTAACTCTGTCTGTGTCGCTTTCATGCCTAAACCACTTAACCGATTTTGATGATTTGGCATAGTGATAGTTTGAGTTCCGGGATAGTTTTTATCCCGGTTTTTGAAACAGGCACGCGCGCGGTAAGTAAATTATTTCTGTCACAGACAAAATACCACGCGGGCGAAGCCGCGGGCGGAAAGCTAGTTTGAACAAAAAGCTCTTTTGCAAGTTCTTAATGTTCTGCCCACGGTCGATAAAGGCGTAATCGGTTTTCGGGTCAGTGATTTTCTATTTTAGCCGAGATTTCTTTCTATCATGATCCAAAAGCCATTTTTGGGCGAACGTCGTTAGTGAAGCCTTGTTTGCACTAGTTCCCCCTTATTACAAAAAGTTAGACTCAGTTTGACATTTAGGCTGAGTTGCACCACCCAACTATGACAGTAACTATAACGATAACCGGTGTTATTTGTATGGAGATTGACAGATTTTTGACGTTTGTCAAAGTTAAAGTAAGATGGTGAAACTCATCCTTAGTATGGAAATGTCATTTTAAACCAGAGTTCGTCCCGGGTTTAACTTTTTTGTAATAAGGCCCGTTGAGTTTAGTCGAGTGGCGAATAATTTAGTAGCTAAACGTGTTCGAACACCAAAAATTTAGTCAAGTAGGTTACTAACGCCCGTATTCACAAACGATGCTTACTTAAGTGAAGCAGCAAATCGAATAAACAGCGTTGAATAGAGCTCTTTGATTGGTTCGTGTGTCACCCTGTGCGTCCACGCGCACTGTGAGAGCTTATAGTAATGTTTGTGAATACGGGTAAAATCATTTAGTCAAGTAAATCCATTTCGTTTAATTGACAGGCAAGTAGCATCCCCCATCACGCGTCCCTGCTCATTCGCTCACCGGCTAAACGAAACCGAACCGGGCTATTTATTCGAGTTCATAGAAAAACTACTAATTACTAGTAAACTGTACTCGACCAAAGTAATAACTGTTTTTTGGTCAGTGTGTATTGTAGTTACTAAAGGCGAGTTACTTTACTAAATTACTACTAGTGCGAACAAGGCTTAAAGATTCATAAAGGTTAGTCAGCTATACATTTGAAAAATAGCACTTATCACGATCACATAAGATGCTCAACTTGACGTGCTGTCGTCTGTACATAAAAGGGCGAGTGTCCATTTGAAAAATTTTCGCTACGAACTTTGCATTGTACGAAATATGTATATGTATATAGTACCTAAATAAATTATTAGTGGCCGATCCTAAAAGGTGACCCCGTGTATTGATGGCCATGATTCAGCCCTTAGTTGTAAGGAAAGGGTTTTCAATTTGGTGCTGGGCAGCATTTTACATGTGAAGTGACATTTTTCAAATACATGGAAACTGCCTTTACTTGCCACGAAACTTAAGCGAGGTTTAGACTAGCGAGAAAAATCAGAAGTTGACTTCCACCACTGTGTAAATCTTGCAGACAACTTCTGCAAGATTTCCACTATGGTAGAAGTCAATGCACATGCCACAGCTTTAAACAGTGGTAAACAGCTTGCAGAAGTCAAATTCAGCAAGTTTTATTGCTAGTCTATACCTCGCTTTAAATTGGCAGGATCTCTCTATGTTAGTTAGGCTAAACACAATATCTGATGTGGATGTAATAGAGTTGTTTTTTGTTAACAAAATGTCTATTCTGACGACTGTACTAGGCTACAAAATATTTTCCATGAATGAAAATTATTAAAGCACTAGAGTAGCTATTCTAATTTGTTTCATTACTAAAATTGCATTGCAATATTTTTATACTTAAGCTCTTTGCGAAATGAAACGCTTCAGTGGCGTAAAATTAAAATTATAGGTTCTGAAGTAACCTTCTTGCATCTGAACTTTTTTCAAAGGCTCTTTCCAATGACATTGAACGGTTAATTGAATTAGTAGGCACTTTGTAGTGTCGAAATTATATTTCGCTGTGGTGAAACTTTGATATTTTTGATAAAAGACTTCATTCCTTTATTCCCATCTACCCCCTTCAATCAATGGCAACTAGTAGAAATAAAGGATGGAGCATTATAATTAACATCTTGCGCCTTCAGAGGTTTTAATGGTTTTTTTACCTTTGAGATATAAAATACTAACAAGTGTCTTCAAACAATAAGTTTGTTAGCCTACGCTAATACTCGTAGTGCATACTAAAACATTTGTTAGTCACTAGAGGTGTGTAATATTTGAAAATGTTGAGAAGGAAGTCTGTTTAGAGCCAATATTTGCGTAGTGCTGACTAGTGCCCTATCTTGTTCATATTACTCGTATTATTTATTTTATGTATAAATCATATTGGTACATAGTACCTATTTACAAGGTCTGTGTTAGAGGGCCCATTTGCTGACTTAACTAGCACTTAGTTCTTTCTTAGGTCGGCATTACAAAACAACTCTCACAACTAGATATCCGCCATAGATTCTGTTGTAATTACATAAGCAAACTAGCGGCCGCCCGCGACTTCGTACGCGTGGATCCCGTTTATACCCCCTTAGGGGTGGAGTTTCGTAAAATCCTTTCTTAGCGGATGCCTACGTCATAACATCTACCAGCATGCCAAATTTCAGCCTGATCCGTCCAGTGGTTTGGGCTGTGCGTTAATAGATCACTATGCCAGTCAGTCAGTCAGTCACCTTTGAGTTATATATATTTATCTTTTGCCTAACTAAAGTTAAGATGCAGATGTAGGTATTTCGTCACAATGACTCATTGACGGTCATCGTCACCCTGACTCATCTGGGTTCGGTTAGATCACTCCTTTTCCAGTTGCCAAACCGTGTTAGATAGATTAGTCGTTATCTTATTTACTTATTTTATCTACTATTTAACAGAGTATAACAATATATGATTTGAAATCCGACTCGTTTAATTTTTATTATTGTTCACACAAAAAAAAATTAAATTTTCCATAAAGCTGTAAGTTACAAACTGAGCATCATTATTCTTTACTTTTGCCTTCCTCTATACATCGTTTTAAAAAGTTAAAACAACCATCCTTTACTCCTGAAAAAGGCCAATTCCAATACATTTCATTAAACATTTAATTAACACCTCCCCCGCCGTGCAAACATCAATAGAGCCCAGCAAACAGTTAACGTCCATCGAAAGTGTACCTGACTGACCTATATTCTGACTGCGAAAATCCTGCAGTTAAACTACTACCACTGGCAGGTGAAAATTAAACGGTTTAAGTATAACCGGCCTAACTGGACCAATATGTCGAAAATATAATAGAGAAACACTAAGTTGCTTCAAATTGGCAATAATATAAGCTAGCTGCACATAGGATGCGCTGCAATGCCACAAGAAGTTATAAAGAAAGAAAAAAGCATTTCAAAGTTGTGATTTTGGGCCACAACCACTATCACGAGTGTCCTTTTGGGGACCAAATCACCCTACCAAATGACTAGTTACTATAATTTAAGAATTCTAATATCATCATCATCATCATCATTTCAGCCATAGGACGTCCACTGCTGAACGCTTACCCCAATGATTTCCATAATGACCGTTGGTTGGTAGCGGCCTGCATCCAGCGCTTTCCTGCTACCTTTATGTGGTCGTCGGTCCTTAGTATAATATACATACAGTGCTAAAAAGTCAACACTGCTCTAAGTGATCACACTGTTTGTAGACCAGTTATGTTGTAACGGAGGGCAGGTGAAACTATGATAACGATAAATATAGCAATGCTCGTGTGCTAGAGCGCAGCATCCGACGGCAAAGAATGCCAGCTGACAATGTGCGTAAAAAGTTGATGATCTTTCCATTAAATAGTACTATCCATTCCAATTATTTTAGTTTTTGCAAGGTATTCTATAAAACTTAAGTCGCTGTTGAACGCCGAGACACTACACATAATAGAAATTTTATTGTTCGAGGCTCACCGGTGAGCCTCGTGGCATCCAAAGTGTTAATAATATGGTCATTGTCTCGAAGATAGGAACTTAATTTATCGTCGCAATGAAACACTCAATGTACATCTATCGAAACGAAGAAAACGATTCGCTTTTTTAAATAACATGGAATGTAATGACATTAGGACAAGTAGTAAACCTAATTTTAAAAGTCCCTTCAAGCTAACTTCTGGGTACTCAGGTGCCTTTTTATCTCAAGTGTCTCTCACTTAAGCTTACTATCGGTCTAATCATCCCCCATAAAAGGAGGTCGTAAGCACTCTTTCAATTTGTCCTCGTCTCCAGTTTACGAGCAGCTGCTTTATGAAGGTCTGCAGGCGTTAATATTCAAAATCCTCCAGTTGACGCTCGAGACCTCCAGGGTACTCTCAGATTGACTGAATATTTAACATGCGCAAGCGTTTCCAAAACTTTTGTATGCTAGCAAATTAAAAGGGACTATAAAAATATAAGTTGAATATTTATGTATGAGTACTTAAAAATCGTTAATTTGAACTGAATGGAATGAAATGAAAACATTACAGTATAATACCACTCTTAAAATTAACGTTTATGTGTCGCAAGAGATTTGGTATTGTATTGTATTTTGGTAGTGCCTTATAAATTTTTAACCGACTTCAACAAAAGGAGGAGGTTCTCAATTCGGTTGCTATTTTTTTTTATTTAACCCAATGTCTGCATAATTCAAAGGATCTTAGTTGTAGTTTTAATTAATGCGTTAGTAGGTATACTCGTACATTCGTTCGTTCGTTCGTTTCAGCCAAATGACGTCCACTGCTGGACAAAGGCCTCCCCCAAGGTTTTCCACAATGAACGGTCCTGCGCCGCCCGCATCGAGGCTCTTCCCGCGACCTTTACCAGATCGTCGGTCCACCTAGTAGGAGGCCTGCCCACGCTTCGTCTTCCAGCGCGTAGTCGCCACTCGAGAACTTTCCTGCCCCAACGGAGAACCAAAGTAACCGACATAGCTCGCAGAATTAGTTAAAATCAAGTGGCAGAGGGCGGGGCACATAGCTCGTAGAGACTCGTACATTATGTTTACAAAAATAAGTGTTACATGAGTCGTCATCATCACATCGTCGGTAACATCAATTCCTTGACACAATTTTACCCCTAAATTGTGGCTAATACCGGATTTTCCTGAAAAAAAAAACGACTGTTAGAAAACATCTGCCACAGTTCATTCAGTTTGTTAACAAATTAACTAAGTTTCATTTAATAAAAAAAACCTTTTTCGCTTAGTTTGAGAGCCCATGTGCTTCGCAAATACAGCAAGTCGGCGAGATGACCGCAATCCTACAATATTTGCGCACGCCCAATATTTGTATGGTGTGATCCTCGCTGGGCCAGTTGGCTTAGAGCTTAGCGCTCATAATTAACGCAACCTACAAACTCGGCAGTCGCTAATGGCCTCTTATGGCACTGAGTAATTAACTAATGTTTTGCTTCGGATAATTTCGTTAAACATCATAAATTATATTATCAGATTCGTTCGTTCGTTTCAGCCGAAAGACGTCCACTGCTGGACAAAGGCCTCCCCCAAGGATTTCCACAAAGACCGGTCCTGCGCCGCTCGCATCCAGGCTTATGCTGCTCTAATTTTGCGGTTGAAATGTCCTGCTTACGGGAAAATCCTGGAAGAGTGAATTTCGATCAATCTTGGAGGATTGTGACTATTTTTGATAACAATAAACGAAAAATCAATGTATCCAAACAATTAATATTAATAGTTCCATTACACTAATGGATAAATGATAGCGATATCAATCAAATCACTATCAAAAAAGTTAAAACAGCTAAACAAATTGACTATCAGTCACGCAAGCACCTTTCCAGAATCAATCGAAAGTCGAGATGAAGGAAGGGGTTTGTTGGAACGCCCAAATTACCGCCTGACAGTCAGCGTCAAATAGTTCATGACACGCAAAGTAGCCAATAAGAGTAGGCGCACACCGTTGATTTTTAGTTGGCCGATAGTTGTGCCCGAATTCAAATTGTATGAAGAATCGGCCAAATCGAATCGGCGTAGTGTGCGCACTCCCATACATGCCCATACTGATCAACAGCCCGATTAAACTATCGGCCGACGAAAAATCAACGGTGTGCGCCTACTCTAAGTCCACAACATGTCAGGTTGTGTTATCAACTTTTTGACTCTGACTATACGATGTGACTTTGACTTGTGCTTTGACCTTCCATTTGAACTTTTTCCGGCTTTACGCTATTACTTATGTAAATTAAAAAAAACTTACACGATCCCTAAAACAAGCAATGTTTTATTGTTTTTGGGTCATATTTATCACGACTTTTCTATTTCAGCACTTTGTTAGAACTTTTCGAAATTATAGATCCCTATCAATGGTAGGTACAATTAAAAAAAAAGCAAACAAATGAAGTATTATCCACGGGCACATAGCTTTGGTGATAGTAAATCACATCTTACGTAAAGTGGTTCTGCAATAGATATTAATCTAGATTTTTTGTTATATACCTCTATCATTAAGGCACTTAATCACTTACAATTATGGCGTAACGTCAGATGTACGGTACGGTGATAGACAATGTTGCATAAACCATAGTGTAGACATAAACATAGGTAGACATTCTATTTCCTATCTATATGAAGAACTAGCAGCCGCTCGCGACTTTGTACGCGTGGAACCCGTTTTACCCCCTTAGGAGTGGAGTTTCGTTAGTGAGCACCTACGTTCTAAAAGGAACCCCCATGCAAAATTTGAGACTCCTAGCACTTGTAGTTTCTGAGATTTCGTGATAAGTGAGTGAGTTAGTCAATCAGTGATCTTTCGCTGTTAAATATAGATAAAATCATAAAATATCTAGACTTATTTCAGTTTTTATTTAAGTATTAATTTGAGTTTTATTTGTCTCCAGATAACCTGAACGAGATTGTCACCGATGATCCAGCGGTAAATCCATAGACCGAGCTTTAGTCGGTAAGTAATTCAATTGTTTTGTTTATTTTCATTCAATGTTTTACCAAACTATATCAGAAACTTATGAGTAAGTACTGTGCTAGGAAAGAACTCGTCTGCTCGATTCAGGACTATGTACTATAGTGGGACTATTGTGACACGGGACGATCCCCACCTCTCGTTCCCATTACTACAACTCCTGTGTAGTCAGGATCTACAACTTAACCGCCAACAAAAACCTAACCGGTGAAGGCCAAGTTTGTCCCGGGGGAAAGTTAAACTGCCATTGGACCCGAAACGAAATTAATCACGACAAATGCCAGTATGGTCAACCATTCTCTAGCTGTTTACCTTAATAAATATTAATTTCTATGCACAAAAGGAACCCAATGTCATGATTCCGAAGACAGAAGGAAGAGCTAAAGGAATTTAAGAATTCTCTTTAGCGAAAAACGAAAGGACCCTTTAGTTTAATATACAACTTTTACCTTGAGAAAAATAATTATAATTTTCCACTCTTCCTCGCACACATTTTTAACATTAGTAGAGTTTTAATGGAACGTGTAAAAGTGCTTTTGAAAGCCTAGTGGCATAAATAGACTTCATTCGTATCTTTCTCTGCTGTTTCAATATTAAATTACCTAGTTTGAAGATCTCGTTTCTAGTTTCAGCACTGCAATTATTGAATTAAATGAGTGACTAATTAAACTACCAACTAGATGAACCTTCGTCTCTTTGCACGTCATCAGGTGAATTACCCACTTGTGACAGTTAAATAAGTTACCACATTAGCATTACAAATTGTCTGAGTTGGTAGTTTTAACTCAATGAACTGCAAAGGGGACGGATGACTGTAAATTCACAAAGCTTCCAGGATATAAATATGCTGCGCTAATTTTCAGAATTTAGTTTCGGGGACACTATAAACTATAAGTACGTCTACAACAGTGGTTCCCAAAGTTATTTAGTCTACTGCCCACTTTGAGAATAAATTATTTTTTAGCGCCCCCCATTTTTGTAGTCAAGAGTCGAGCTCAGTCGATGTCTAAGAGTCCTCCTAGTAGACGACGCCTCCCAAGCCTCTACACAACGTCCCGATTTTTTTTTCTGGGTCTCTTACCGCCCCCCTTTAAGCCTGCCGCGCCCACAAGGGGGCGTTATCGCCCACTTTGGGAAAGACTGGTCTACAATAATAGACCCCCACTAAGTGGACCGACGATCTGGTAAAGGTTGCCGAAAGTGCCTAGATGCGGGAGGACCGGTCGTGTGGAAATCTTTGGGGGCCTTTGTCCGGCTGTGGTCGTCATTTGGCTGAAACGAACGAGCAAACCCATTTTTGTGCCCATTAAAAGAAAAAAGAAAACAACTATTATCTAGAATCAGCTTGATCATTGCAGATAAAAAAAAACTTCAACTATTTGGACGAAAGGCACAGATTACTGTGACTAGCCATCATTGCTTCGAAGCTAGTAACTTGAAATTAGTGCTTATCTCGGGAGATTTTTGTGCAGAAACTAGCAACCTTATTAATCCCTGGACACTGGCCAGCGGGATAATTGCAAACCCGGCATACGAGCAATAAACTCTTCCACGAAGTGATTACACATCTAGGATACAAGATACAAGTTGAGGGCAAGCCCGGACTAGGTATAGAGAAGTGGCGGGCCCTTATCTAGGAGCCCCTTAATGTGTCCCCTTATTGACGGGCGCGGTGGATCAATTTTCCTGGGACAAAAAAAGAATTGGAGCCCTCTTAATATTTTAACACTACATAATGCCACATACACTTAAAACACAGCTGATTGTATTGGGAATTAAATACGTTGTGTTCTCTGTGGAAATACAAAAGAACATTGTGACTTTCTTTTGCTCTGAGTAACCTAAAAATGCCATCACTATTCATTTAGTCCCGAAAATACTATATTTCATAATAACAATTGTATTTTGTGAGTCCCTCAGTGCGTGTGCTTTATGATCATCACAAGAAGTGCTCGAGGGTTTTTGCATACTTGTGACGTTTTATTTTAACGACTCATTGTTCTTGTGCAATTTGTAAGAAATTTGGCGATACAATTTGCATTAATTTTGCTCATACACAGTCAGTATTCAGTGAGAACAATGTACAACACTCGGTCCAATACATACTTCTGCGGTTAAAGGCTATTATAGCCTTTTTACTTGCGTATGTTAGAGCCCTGTGCATCTTAGTTCGGCCCTGTACTTTGTAGTCAATGATTCCACGAAGCTTCTTCGTATTCGCATCCGGGAACCGTTAATTTTGAACGTGTGCGATGCATTAGAATACGTTTGATTTACAAGTTAAAGCTGTAACTGTTCATTTAAATGAACGACCTCCTTTATGAGGATAAATAACCTTCGTTCTGGCGCGGTTGGGTAAAAGAAAAGTAAAATCTATGAATTAGTTAAAATGAGCACATTCCAAACGAGAGGTTTCTTATCTGCACTTCCTCTACGATTGATATCAAGCTACCAATATCTGATGATACTGGTTTACTTGCTTTCTGCTTTCTGTGTACTCGCACCTAATTGGATTTTTTCATGGGTGTACAACGGCTGTAAATTCAATTATTTTAATGCAACACTGACCACCTAAATTAACCACTAAAGTATATGTTATGTAAAGTGTGAAGCCTGTTTTCAGCCCCCAAACAATAGTCCTGGCATTTTCCTACAGCTGAAAATACGTTGGCTGTGTGAAAGCAAGCCAGCGATTGTTCTCGCTGACGCGCCTCACATATCTACTAGTATTGTCATACTCACACAAATAGTGGCCCTTACTATATGTTTTACTAGCTTTTGCCCGCGGCTTCACCCGGTTTGGTTTGTCTCAGATCGTCATAAATTAAAGCCTATATGTTATTCTGGGTTATAAACAATAGTACAGTAAAGTTTCATCAAAATCCGTTCAGTAGTTTTTGCGTGAAAGAGTAACAAACATCCAGACATCCAAACTTTCGCATTTATAATATTAAGTAGGAAGTAGGATAATAAAAATCCAACTTAACTTTCATGATTATAAAAATCGTACTGGCTAGGGCGGGCAATGACAACGTTACAACGTTAACTTTCACGGTTACACGGCGTAAAAGCACGCACAATAAGTACAGACATATTTCATTTTGATGCAGGTGCCGAACTTTAACTTTACTTAACTGAGTTTTAACTTTATGTAGGTAACACACCAAACTGGTATTTTAAGGTGCTTGGCACACAATATTTTAATTTTGTGATTTAGTTTAATTTGTAGTTGTATGTAGCACTTGTTGAGACTAAAGTTTGCTGGACAGTTATATGAAAGGTACTTTTTTTTTTGTGAATTGGAGAGAATGCCTTATGTACAGCATCAAGTTTGCCTTCTTAGATAAATAAAAAGGAAACTGATTTGTTTTCAGAGCACGTCAAGCAAACACTGGTATCTTTATGTAGGTGCTAATACTATTGCTACACCATTGAATATACAGGAGTATATTAAACTCCGTAGAGTCCAAAAGTTTTATAACTTTGCATAATAATAGCATCTGAAACGGACATACAGCGAGAACAAACATTACGGCCGACCACAACTAGTTGGGCGCCAAATTCAACTAGTTGGGCGCCAAACTTTATTATGAACATCGAGTTCGTTCGTGGCAATGAAACTTCACCCTCTGTGCTCGTGACAGCTTTTGTAGGACTCACATTGGCATTACAACTTCATTCATTTGAGCCACTTGCAGTTTACTGCTTCAGGACTACTCTCCCAAGGACGTTGTCTGAAGTTTTGTATTTCCATCCTTGTCACGCAAAGCGATATTCCAGTATGAGCGACAGTGGCAGATAGAACCGAAACTACGTAAACGGCGTTAAAGGGATTAGTCCTTCAAGCCTCTGAAGGAACGTCAAAAATCATAACTCTCGCTTTTTTCGAATCACAAAATGCTTTTGTTAACGGTTAATTTTGTTAACACTTTCACACTGATTAGTCATAATGATAACAACAGATAAGTACGAACTTTTCTATGGACAAGAGCTTTACTAGTTTTTCTAGTATGTGCATAGTATAGCCTGACCAGGAACATAAAAACCCTCGCCATGTTGCGGAAAACTAATGGTACTAATTTCTTTTAATGGCAACAGTAACTGAAAACTTCATTGACATGTCACCTTGCATGTCAGTCTATTGTTGTCAAAGTGTAAACAAACTTAATTTTAAATGTGTGCAATTGATTTTGTGAATTAAATTGCTAAAATATTTTTATAGTCGTGAAAGAAAAGTGGTTCACGATGTGTTAATGTATTTGTCGAAGAGAAATACTAAGGGTTCGGACAATATTTTCATTGAATAATGTTTCCGACAAAGGTTGTCAAATTGACTAACATGTTTATCGTATAGTACAGTCCACTATGAAAATTAGCTGTAGTCTGTTTCAACTACCTGTTTTAAAGTTTTTTGTCACTTTCTAAGTTTTGAATTTTATGGGATTGGGAAAGAAGTACCGAGTTTGAAGCGTTCATGAGCAGACATTGCAGTTGAATATTGAAGTTCTGAATTTGATTATTGTGGAAAAATAAAATAAATCGTACTAGCTCGATTGATGGTTTCATTTAATTTATTTAAACCAGGTTACCTTTAATAATATTTTTCGTTCATTTATGAAAATGTCAAATTAGCCCGTAATCCTGAATCCTGGTACATAAATTTAGCCTATTAATTTAACACATGTACGACTGTACTCAGTGTTGCACTATCAAATGCAATTGAAGCGCCTCTATGCCAGGGTTTTTATGTTCCTGGTCAGGCTATACAATGTTAATTATTAAGAGCGACTATTCTCTATCTATATTGATAAAAAGGTTATACAGGGATTGGTAAATGGCTATATTAGCCGACACTAGCCCATGTTAACATGGTCATATAAATGGTATGGTGAAGTCAGAAATTTCATATCATCATTTAAATTTTTTTAATTTTCATACAAAATAAATTTTATAAAATCCGATTTGTATGAAGATATCAATTT